TGTAGTTTCAACATGTAAGTGTGAGTCTGCTGAGTGTTCTTGTTCTGTTGATCTAGTACTAGTAAGGAATACAGCTATTCTCCATTATGGATAAAAATAGTCCCCAGTGTGGAATCTTGTGTTTTGAGAGCCCTGTTGTTTTTATTTTAGTATTTGATACCCATTTAATGGGAAGGCTTAATCAATATGGCAGCAGTGCTAATATTGTTTCAGGCGGGGGGTATCTATAGGAACCTGGCCTTTTAGAAACTGTTGCTGAACATGCTTTGTTATAAAACTTTAATCTGACTGTTTTTAAAATGAATTGTTTTGTCAATGTCACACTGAAATACCATAATTCTTGAATGACGTTTCTTACCTGTTCTATCTTACTGCTTACCATTAGCTAAACATACTTCTAGTGGCTTACTATGAATAGAAGGCTGCAGAGAGTAATAAGTATTGCCTTTTATCTTCCATATGACTCTGCAAGTGTGCATTGCTAATGTGATGTTCCAGTTGGGAAGATATTGTTTGGAAAGATTTCTGGTGTGATGATGGTATTAAAAGGGCATATGATTTTTGAAAGAAGCTCTGGTTTGCTGTGGCTAGAAATTTCAATTAGCATCTACAAGTGCACAAATCTGTGGAGATTATTTGGTTTTGACAGCGTTCTGCCTTACTAGGGTGTTCCTGTGCTGCACTATAGTCATGTTTTCATATTGGTCAATGTAGGGTAGCAACAATGTCACTTTTCCTCATTTTATGGTAAAGGAGTAATGCTGTCAGTATAGTGGTATTCTGAGGCAACTAAATCTTAGAAAATCTTTCTGCTAGGTGCCAGGTTGGGGGGGAAGAAAGTACATGGATTAAGTTACTAATACAGCAAAATTGTTTCCATTAGATCATAATCTAGTTGAGTCAGCTCCTAGAACTTACGGTATCACTTAAACATAGTTTCTTTGAATTCTTCTCTTAGAGCTCACTTTATCTTTAGATTATTATACCATTAGAGATACCATTAGAGATACCATTAGAGAGTAATTATTTGTGCATCTTTTAGGAAAACTGGAATGTGTGGAAGACTTAAAAGGGTGGTACAATATAAATTTTCAGTTTACCCAAATCAATTGTTTTTGAGCAGTAGTGTGAAAGTTTCCTGTCTTGCTTGTCCAAGGATCTAGAATTAATGTATTCCTGTAATGTCAAAAAGAAGCATTTCTGTAATCAGTTTTTGGAAAAACTTTTAATAAAAACTCGTCGTTTGATAGAATATATACTTAGAATGTTTAGACTGCTGACCCTGGGAATAATGTTGTAGCGTTTATCTTTAAATGTACATGTGATAATTTACCACGTGTTCATGATAAATTGCCAAGCACAAGTACCATCCAAAGGGCAGTAGATAGTGCTTCTGGGACGCTCATACAGGCTCAGCATTGCATACTGTGGATTGTTTGAGTCTGTTGGTTTAAACAAGAAAAAATATTTTTGTATCTGAGGTACAACTTCTGTGGATGTTTTACATCTGTGTTTTAACTTAAGCTTTGTAAATTGAGACATGATCTCAGTTGTTCTCTCCAGTAACTAGAATAACTGCTTTTCTCAGCCTAACTTTCCTTCTATTTTGTGTCAATTCACTCTAGTTACTCCATCTCATACCAATAGTGTTCAGAAAAAATAATTATCTTACTGCTAATGAATTTTTCATCTACCAAGATTACTCAAATTACAAAGACTATACAACAGAACAAAGCTTTCTTTTAGTTTGTTTCTTATTAGTGCAATAACTAGTAAATAGAAAGGAATATTGTTTTCTGAGTTAAACAGAAATATTTAAGAATTAGTCTATTGAACTCTCCCTGCACCAAATCAGTTGTTCTTATAAGAACAATTTTTGAAATATTATATTTAAGTAAAGGTACAACATCAGTTTTGAAAGTCAAACACTACAGAAGCCTGAACAGTAAAGCAGCTAAAGAAGTTATCTCTGTTTCTTTCTGCTAAAAAAAAAAGTTTTCTTCCCAGTGCAAATAAAATGCATGAGGCTTGTGTGCTGTTGGATTTCAATGGAATGGCATCAGAATTTGTATTTTTCTCATTTGTTTTATAGGCAAGCTGAACCAAGCTGTGCAAACCAAGAGTTAGAATGTGATGATAGGAGATCACAGAGAAGGAGAGAAGAAAGAGCCACTTACAAGGAAAGAGAAGCTTATGATCAGTCATCGTGGCATCATCATAATGCATCGCAAAGGGACTGGAAGTGGGAAAAGGATGATTATATTAGTCCTAGACAAGGCAAATTTTCACACTCTCAGAGGAACCTTAGTATAAACAGACATTCAGGTGGCCCAAGGGGACGCTCTGGGTGGCACCAAAATGTTTCAGGAAGCTCTTCAAATCGGCATAACTATGGGAATTCTGGAAATGTTTGGCATCCAAGTGGGCGGGGAGGAGGAACATCAAATTGGCACCACAGTGCAAGGGAGAGAAATTCTACTTGGCACTCAGAAGGAACAGGTCATTTTTCTAGCTGGAATTCCAAGAGTTATGGAGGAAACTGGAAATCCAGTCCTCATGGTGCAAATGGCTGGAATTTTGGAAGTTCAGGAGATACATATTCGGTAGAGCCAACTAAATATAATAAGGAAAGATATGCATGGCAGCGACAGGAGAAAGACATTGATGTTCCGCCATATAGAGATCGAAAAAATAGGAGTGACTTGCTTGATTTTACGAGTGATAAACTTCCTTCTGAGGGGGCATTGGATTTCGGTACATCAAAGCAACCAGAAAGCAAAACTTCGAGAGCCAGTGGAAAAAGTGGCAGTCCTTCCAGAGATAAAACGTATCGCTGGACTCCCTACCCATCCCAGAAAGCTGCAGAGCAGCAACCACGGTCTGAAGATAACGTTTCTAAAACTCCAGATAAAAAGGATTCTTTATTTATGCCTCTTACTGATTCATCAATGAAAGGAAAAACTTGTGAAGGTAATGTTAGCCTTTCAAAACCTAAAAAACAGGAAGCATCTTCCCCTCCTAATGTAACTTCAGATCACCTTGATTCTTGCAAGGTAATGAAAGATTGTTCCAGTGGTGAAAAGCCTGACAAAGATGATGGCAGAAGTAATAGGATGCCATCAATAAAATCACCTCTTCTGAATATCACAGATAAGAAGTTATCTTCCCCAAAGCAAGACACAAACAGTCTCTTAAAAAATCTCAAGCTTCTGTTACCCTCAACTAGTGGTGAAGAGCAGAATCATTTGAATGCACTGAACTTGGAAACAAACAGTTTCTCCACTTCCACATCAAAGCTGCATGGAGTGTGTGCTGGTAACTTACAAGACAACAAAGATGTGCTTGGTAGCAATCTTGGAGAGCCTGTTAATAACCTGTGTGAAGCAGAGCAAAACCCCAAAGATGTTCAGTCCAACCATTCCTTACAAAATGCTCCCTTAAGCTCTTGCAAGGATACAAGTGACCAGAATAGCGAAGAAACTGGGAAAGCATCACCAAAGAACGAGTTCAGACTAGATTCATTAGAAGATGTGAGCGATGATGATTTAATGGGAAGTGACAAGTCAGAAGCAAGAGTTGAAAAGTTGGGTTCTTCTGTTAGTTCTTGTTTACCCTGTGACACTCCAGAAGGTAAATCTGCCACTTCTGAAAAGGAAGATGATGAAAAACCAGCTGCTTCAAGTATTGCTTCTGCTGATCTAAAAGATTCTACGTTTCAGATGGAATCCACAGTTTCTCCATCAAGCTGTCAAGACCATTTGCATGTGGATTTGAAAACCTCCTCACAGAATGGAGAAGGGGATGAGGAGCGTGTCAAGTCACATGATCACTTTGAAATGGAAGGTTTTGAAAATCCTTCAGATCATGAGCTGCAAAAAGGAGGAAGCCAGTCACTAGGCCTCCTCCTTCCTGATTTAAGCAAACTGGGCCTCCCTGCCTCTCTGCAAAGAGACCTGACACGACATATTAGTCTGAAGAGCAAAGTTGGGACACATCTTCCAGAGCCCAATCTCAATAACGCACGGCGCATTCGGAATGTGAGCGGCCATCGGAGAAGCGAGACTGAGAAGGAATCGGGGCTTAAACCCACCCTCAGGCAGATTCTTAGTGCTTCCCGGCGAAATGTAAACTGGGATCAAGTCATCCAGCAGGTAACTAAGAAGAAACAGGAACTTGGCAAAGGTTTACCAAGGTTGGTAGCTTTCAGATCTAACCATGCCTTTCTGTGTATGTGTTGAGGGGGGAGGGTTGTTTTTCTCCAAATCTGAAATGAATTCCAGAATTGAAGGCTTCACAATGAAGCTTGCTATACCACGATCCTTTGCATATACAAATAATTTTGAGTATGATTGCTTGCTGCTGTGGATGTCTATCCGTAGGTAAGTAATAGTAAAGATAGAAAAGATTCTGATCAGTTCATAATAATTGCTTAGTTTCTGAATATGGACATTAGCAATGTATTTGCTTTTCAAGTTCTAGTAAGTGGAAGAATGTAAAAATGCAATCAGGATGTGAACAATGCTGTGACAGTTGCTTATTTCTTCATTAATTCAGGAGTACAAGACATGGTTGCATTGCTGCAGGCAGAATAAATGCTTCCTCTTCATTCGTTAATCTTTTAATCTGATATGCAGTTTGGTTTTGTGTTTAGAGGAAGCAATTATACAATACTTCACTTTGGAAACTTTCTTTAAACCTGAAGTTATTGAACTGTCTTGAAAAGATGTCATATTTGCTTATTCCAAACTTGGTTTGGAATAATTATAACAACATGATTTCTGCCTTGGAAATCATGCTGTCAGTTCTTAGCCACTAAATCTAATTTTGTGGTACACAAAAGATATTCCAGTGCCAGTTGAGACAGAAAGCACAGAATACTAGTGTAATGAGTTGCCAGATCTCTTAAAGCAGTAATGTGCATTTGGGGCAGGGGGAAGCTTTTTTCTAGATTTAGCTGGCTTGTTACATGTGTATTTATTTTTCTTTTTATCTTGTTAAAGGTTTGGCATAGAAATGGTGCCTCTTGTTCAAAATGAGCAAGAGGGTCTAGAGCTCGGTGAAGAATCTGATTTGTCTGCTCTGGAAGGATTCCAGTGGGAAGGGATTTCCTTAGCAGTGCCTGGCTCAGCCAGAAAACGTAGCTTTTCTGAAAGCAGTGTCATTGCAGACAGAAATCCTTCTGCTTATAGCTTCTTCAGTGAACAAGCCAAAATAAAAGAAAATGGGCAAAGACAAATAATTGCAGCCAGCCACTCGCATCACGTAACATCTGGGTATGAGGCATGCACTGACATTGAGGCTGACTTGAAACAGGAGACATCTTCTCTTCCTTTGTCACCATTTATGTCTGAAAGAACTGAGACTAATGGAAGGAGACACAGCCTACAGGACACCTCTGAGGTCACAGGCCTCACAAAACAAGACCAGGAGAGCCCAGAGAAGAGAACACCTCTTCTTGAAAAACAAAATGTACTAGAAATTTCAGAAGAAAATAATCCAGCTTCAAATAATGCTTCACTTCTTGCGGTTTCTAACAACATAGATGCAGCTACAGACAGTAGCTGCACATCTGGTACTGAGCAGAATGACAGCCAAGGAATTGGAAAGAAACGAAGAGCAACTGGAGTAAGTGTGCAACTTTGTCCAGCTTTGGTGCGCTAAAAATGTTTTTTCCCTATCAGTGGTCATTCAACCTTGGAATGAGCTCTGCAAGGAGGACTTTCTCCATTTGATTGTCTTGTACCTTGATAGCCTCAAACTAATTTTCTTGTTTGACGTAATTTTCTTTAAGAAATCTTTTCCATTTCTGCCTTTCTAGTGCAGGACTTTGGCTTAATCTTTTTTAATGAGTAGGAATGGCAAATGCTCTTTAATTTTGATTTGGTAACTGGCATGCTATGCTGGTAAATGAGAGCTATTAAAATATTTCTGTGGAAGTACTTGGTGGTGTAGCAAGGATCTTAGTATTTTAAAACTTAAATGGAAACTAGGCTGTAGCAGAAATCTGTTTTCCTTAGATGTTCCTGGTTTTATGGTCAAGCAAGGAAAGACAACCCTTTTTACAAAATCATATACTTAAAATGATATCCTTAAATCTGAATTTGTTTCACTGTCCTGTCTTGGACTTACCCAAAGGGAAAAAAAATTTTCTGATCAAAATTCTCAGAATGGTTTTGTTATATGCAGAAGTGATAATTTTAATTCCTCACTGATTTAATCCTCTAGACCGTCAACTAAGACTGTAGAGCAGAAAATCTGACCCAACTGTGGTCTTAAACATCTGAGCAAGTAGAAGTATGTCAGCTTATGTAATATTTCTTCCTCGTTGAGATGAAAAAATGTCTCTCATGTTGTTGCCCTCCCTCTTTTAAGGGCAGAGGGGAGGACAAGTTACACAAGAAAGTGCAAAATTAATTTTATATTCTTCTCTGTGGGTACAAGTAATGGTTGAAAAGACAATGGATGTTTGACTTTTTGATTCAAGCAAAATTGCTCTTGCAACTTTTTTAATAAATGATTTTATCTGCAGGAGGGATCTTCTCCTGAAATCCCTAGTCTAGAAAGAAAGAATAAGAGAAGGAAAATCAAAGGTAAAAAAGGTGAGTGAGTATCATACGTGTGTGCATCTGGTATAGAGGTTGTAAATACCTAGTAGGATTTTGACTTGGCCGAAATGGTAGTTCCTTAATGTTACTTTGGCTCTTCTTGGGCTCTTACTGAAGATCATAGGATGGACTGCTCTCAGGTCTGCAACACATTCTTCTCTGAAGAGTGCCATCTTAATTTGTCTGAAGTTATTTCAAAGAGAAGGCTTCGTGCCCCTTTTCTGCCTGCAGTTCATGTTCCGAGTTGCACAGATGGGACCTCTGCTTTCCCCTGCTCAGGGAAGAGCGGTTTGTTGCCTCTTTGCATGGAAGTTCTGAAGGGAGAAGCACCCATTCACTCCCTTCTAATTCAGCCATGCAGCTTTCCCTTTCTACTTCTGGGTGGTCTTGCTGGAAAACTTGTACTCTGTGTAACTTGGGCTGTGTTCTGTTTTTGACATCTCTGGCAATACTTTTTATTTTTTGACTCCTTCTTCCCTGTCCTTAATGGAAATTAATGTGGAATGCCTCACTCGATCCGGCTCCTCATCAAAGAAAACTTATTCTGGCATTAGAGAGGTCTTTCTCAAACATGCCTAAAACATCCACATGACTGCATATCAAAATTAAGCATCTGTGTTTTAGGGAGAATGTTTTCTTTGGGAACTAAGTCACTGCATCACCATCTGGGAGCTTTGGGGTCCAGAAGATAGGTTTCAAATGTTCCATTTCTCTTTTTTTAATTATTTATTTATATTAACTTGTTGAGAATGCAGGGCAATTAATATAGATCTTCTTGTGGAAACTAATATTTCACTACTTGAAAAGGTGGGGGTTTTTATCAGCCTCTGTCTTCAGTGACTAGTGTCTATTACGGAGACTAGTAACACACTTGACTTAGTAAAATTTCTCTTCCCCATTACTTTGCTTCAGCATCATCATTATTGTAGTAAATCTACTAAAGGAAACTGTAACCTGAATGAAACTAAGCAGTGCACAAACTGAAACTTAATTTCCGTAATGCTAGAGGACTTTAGCAAGGAGTATAGGAGGATCTTTTACTGAGTACAGTGCTCAGAGACTTCATAGAGAACACTGAGTCTTCATAGAATAGTTTGGGTTGGAAGGGACCTTTAAAGGTCATCTAGTCCAACACCCCTGCAATGAGCAGGGACATCTTCAACTAGATCAGGTTGCTCAAAGCTCCATCCAACCTGACCTTGAATATTTCCAGGGATGGAGCATCTACCACCTCTCTAGGCAACCTATTCCACTCCTTCTCAAGAGACTGCAAACATGAGTCTCACAGCCCAAAATCATCCTGGATATTAAATGGGTTTTTTATCATTGGGTTCCTTTTCTCTTAAGCTGCCTTTCCTTGGCCTCTGGATTAACTGAAAATTTAAATCTTGTTTAACTTAAACTTGCCTTTGCCATTTTGGTTATGTTAATGGAAAGTGAGTATTTGTACTTTATGTACACGTGTACTTCGACAAAAGATCTTTGTGGAAGAGAATTACTTTGTTCAACTAAATTAAATCAGTGCTGGCAAAGCTATGATGGAAATAAAGTTGCTAGAGTCAAGGCTGAGATCCTGTAAAGAGGAATACTTGATTTTGCTCTTCTTTCATGTAGATGTGACTATTCCTGTGCATAGATACTCCTTTTCAGCTTCGTGTATGACTATTGATGCTTGACCTGATTTGTGTAATTTTTACATTCTGAGGTGGTAGTATTTATTGAGATATCATGTGTAAAGTGTTTTAATGTATTGTCAAGTACAATTATACTCTACATTTCGTTTCTTTTTCAGAACGTTCTCAGGTAGACCAGTTGTTGGCTATTTCGCTGAGGGAAGAAGAGTTAAGCAAGTCCCTGCACAGTGTGGACAGCAGTCTCTTGCAGGCTAGGGCTGCCCTGCAGGCTGCATATGTTGAGGTTCAACGGTTCCTTGTATTAAAGCAACAGGTAACAGTGGGCTTTTGAGACTGTCTGAACTAGAAGTTAGCAGCCTGAAAATCTGCCTTGAGTAGGACTGATGTAAACCTCAACTGTTTTGCAGATAACCATGGAAATGAGTACACTGAGAAGCCAAAGAATCCAGATCTTGCAGGGGCTACAAGGTATGAGATACCATAAAACTACAACAGTGGAATGCTGACTCTCATCTTTGAACTCAGCATCTTGCAAAAATTGCATTTAACTTGAATTCACTCATTTAAAATGTGGATTTAAATTGTAGGCTTTCAATATTGAAGTCTTTCTTGTTCAAGTGTGAGCTGTCGTCTTTGGTAGTGCCATCTAGTGGCCTTTTTACAAATTTTTCTCTTCCTTGTCTGTGTGTCCACAAGAAATGGGCTCTTGACTCCACTAAATTGTATTGTAAAATGTGAACGTTTTTGTTCTGTGTTTTTTTCTTCCTCTTTTGCCATTAGAAACGTATGAACCTTCTGAACTGTCAGAGCAACTTTCCTGCAGTGTCTTAAATGAGAGAAGAAATAGCAAATCTCAGATGGCAGCTGATTTAATTCCTGCAGGCTCCTACCTGCCTCTTTTGGACACTTTGTCTTCTTCTGTACCTCCACTGGGAGCTTCTGTTCATGTAAACATGCCGTCACCATTCCAGTCTTCTGGCATCACACCTGCTGCTCCTCCTGACTCCTCAGTACAAGTTAAACGAGAACCTCTGTCTCCAAAAGGCTCAGAAGAAAATGTGAATTCTGTACTCCAAACCTCTCCATGTGCTTCACGAGCAGAAGAGGTGGAGCAGAAGGATGGTATGTGTGGCTTCTCTTTGTTTTAAAAGAACTAGCTTTAAGAAAATAAGGAATTTTTTTTTCTTTTTCCCCCAGAAGAATGTAAGTTGGATCTGAAACCTGCAGCTTGTTGTGCAGGGCTGAACTCGCATTAACTTGTGTAGGACTTTGTCAACTTAATAGTCTTAGAAACTGGGACCTTCCTTAGAACACATCCAAATGGATTCCACGTTTTTGAAATTGTTAAGCACATGCAAATTGTAGTCATATGCACCTACAGGTTTCTAGTTTTTCTTTAAAAATAGAACAAACATGAATTTGAAGGTTACATCCTCTCAGAATAATTTAGTTAGTTAAAAAAAAAAAAAAAAAAGAACAACCTTAAAACCTCCCCTGTAATTTTTGTCTTCTACTCTGCATCATTTAATGGGCATTGGTAGCTGAAAATCTGCCTACAAAGGAAAAACGCATGCCTGAAGGTCTTTTTCAAAGAATTACGACCAACTACATTAAGAGTATTCTGTGTTCTTCTTGGGCCCTGCTGGATAAGCACAAAGAGTATGATTTGTGATACTGACAATAACAACCCATCTTCTCCCCCTCTCAGTCTCTTAAATCCCACTGGTCTGGCGATGCTCATTCAAAGTTCATGCCATCTTATTTGTGATTTCAGTAAACAATTTACTGTAAGAAGGATGTTAAGCACTGTTCACTCCTGTGCGGGCAGTGAGAGTGAGTAGGGGAGGGCTACCAATGAAGGTATGCGTTCACTTTTGTCTGGAGGAGAAACCGCTGAATTAACTGAACTACTAATGTGAGAAGTACTGCTTCAGAAAAATGAGATCTTAATGGCTATAGCTGGAATTGCTAACTCTTTATTTAGACAATTTAAAACCCCTGAAACTCATGTACTATGGTCTGTGGTCAAACGCTTAAATGCTATCAGTGCTTTCCACTGCGGCTTGCTACTGTGACTGAAGGTACGAAAGTTGAAAAGCTCAATCATCCTTTACTTTCCTAAGAGCCTGTGAGGTCAAGCAGGGTGACTCTAAGGACAGTTGTTTGTCTGCCATAACAATGTCACCCAAACCCTTAACTTAGATAATTTGAGATAAAGATTCATAAGATCGATCCTCGTTAAAGATAGATATAGCCAACATGTTTTTTTTTCCTTCAACTGAAGTGGAAAATACTATTGGAAAAAGCCATGCTGTTCTACTTTTATAAGTGTATTTTTTCTCAAGCACAAGATAAGTGTTGGCTGAAATGAAGCTTAGACTTCTGTAAATACAAGACTTTGAAGGTTTTTTTACTTTTTTGCAGTTTGCTTCAGATGTAGAATTCTGTATAAATAGCGCTCTTTGTGCTTTTTAGTCACCATTACATTTCCTGTATTCCACTGTGTTATGTTACATTAAAGTAGTATTATGAATTTTGCTTCATCTCTTTTTGGAGGGTTTGACAGGGATTATGAAGCTCTAGAGGCATACACTAAAGTAAACTTGGGGGGGGGAGGGGGAGAATCAGCTTTTGTGTTTGTTTGCATTGTTAAGACTTAGGTTGTAGGAAGGCACTGCGTTTCCTTCACTTTCCCATTTTTATTTGTGTATGCCATTCTGTTATGGTTAAACATCAGTGAAGAGAGGTGTCATTTTTCTTTAATGTTAGAGTTGGAAAATTCAGAATAAAGATTCAGTCCTCACTAGCTGCAGTGGCATAAAGTGTCTTGCTTGCAGAATCTTCAGGCTTCATTGATGTCTGTGCAGGCACAACAGAAGCTGAAGAGGCGTTTTAGTTTTTTTCTCATAAAAATGAACCTTCAATGTATAGCTGTATTTATTACTTAAGTACTTCAAAAATGTCTTCGTCACACTAGCATATTTGTCAGTTTCCTACAAACTTATTTTTGACATATTAAAAGCAACCATGTTCTTTTGATGTTTGTTTGTCAAATTAATGTGGTTTTGGTATTGATCAACTTCTGTATGTGCTACATTTAAAATGAGTGTCTGTCATCAAATGAATTCGGTAATTTGGGGGGAAAATAAGCATTTACCATCAGGTAAATTCTGTAACTTGGGGGAGAGGAATTCTCTCTGAGGGCAGACTGTCTGCTTTCTGGGGGTTGAACATCTGGCTTGTCAGCTCCCCTAGGAGGTCAGCTCAGCCTTGCTTTGAAGGAGCTGATGGCATTTGGTTTCCCCTAACTACCAGCAATCTCTCCCACCTGCAGAACTTAGTGATTCTGTTTTCTTGCACTACCATGGTGATTTCCTACTTCCTTTTCTAACACCTGCTGTAGTCCAAGTGCTGAGAAATAGTAACTTCTGGTTTTAGAAATTTCAGTTTAAGTTGTCAGTTACTCTTATTTTCCTCTTTGTTTTGTTTTTAAGTGACCAAGTTCCTTCCCTCCCCCTTCCTGTGGGAAATGAGGGATGCACAATGTTAGAGGTATATTCAGAATTTAAGGGTTTGTGTGCCTTCTTCCCAGTATAATTCAACACGGTAACTGTTTAAACCTCGTCTAAGCATTCATTTCTTCTATATAGAGGGTTTTCTAACAGGTTGCAGCTGTGTATGACAATTATGGGTTGGGGGAAAACCAGCTTTCCATTGATTTGCTTTAAATACGATATTCCTACAGTGTCAGCAGGTTCTAGTTTTATCTTGGAAGTTCCTATCTGAGGAGGGTGTGGGGTGAGATGTTCACATTTCAGCTGTCTATAGTTGGATGCGTAATTCTAAAGCATCAAATTTATACTGTGATGTGTTAGACAGTCCAACAGCTTTGTCTAAGCATTGCTGTGGGTTTAATTTGCTGGTTGCTTAAGAGACTGAAGCAGGGACGTGTTTCAAATACTGCCAGCTTCCCATTTGCGTTGAGGCATCCCACCCAATAAATGCACTGTAATAACTGAGCTTAAGACATCCTGTTCTGGATTGTAGTTATTGCAAATGCAACTGGGGGGTTTTAGGGTGTGGGAAACACAGCTGTGAGTTGCTTACCTGTGTTATTAGCCTGTCTCAGTTGCGAGGTTGGATTCATTTGTTCATATTAGCTTCAAATTAAAATGACAGAGAGTATGTTTACCCTGTGGCTTAGTCCACCACAGATGAACTAACAAAGCTTACCCTGATGGCTTATAGTGCTGCCATTCCCAGGATAGAAGGTACGATGCTGCAGAGTGGGTTGTGCATGACTTGGCTCCCTTGAGTTAGGTCCAGGTAACTTGGTAGAAAGAACTAATGCAGATGGGTTAAGGACAGGGTCTTCAAACTATGTCACTAAGCAGCTGAGACATATTAGGCATGCATTGGTTAATACCAGTACTACAGCAGTGGTGACAGCTGGTAAGGGAGCACACAGGGAAGGGTGGTAGCGTCTTAAGCTGACAATGTAGGATTCACCAAAGGTTGTTTGTCAGAACTTTAAAACCGTATAGTCAGCCAGCAACTTGAATGATGTGCCCCATTCCTTTGCTTCTGGATACACAGATAAACATTTTATTCACCAGCTATCTTTTTTAAAGGCTGGATAGCTGACTGAAATAGCAGATCTGCATGTGCACATAGCTTTCAGCATGTAGGAATATGTACTTTACATGCACAGCTAAGTATAAACAAAAAAATGCGGAGAAAGCAATTTTGCATAAATATTTATTGCTGTACAGATTGAATATAACACTAGTCTGTTTGCTTCAGAAGAGACCAACCAGAAGACTTCAGTGTATCCAGTTATCTCTGCAACCATATCCCTATCAGAGCTGGAAGCTTGTTTCCAACACACGAATCAAGATGTCCACAAGCCTGCTGCGGACCGGGGAAAGGCTGGACTTCCTGAGAACCTTTCTCCTCATTCACTGTCTGTTTTCAGCAAGAGAGAAGCAAATGATACAGTGACTGAAAGCTTTTTACTGGATCAGTGTAGCACTTCGCTTCCAAAGCATTCAGTCCTTCTAGAAACGCCAATGGATAAAACCTCCAAATTGTCAGCAGAACTGTCTGAGCAACAGACGGCAACCACTGTAGTCCCAGCAGAAAAAGGGAACAGGAGGAGGAGAAAGTTAAGGAAGAAGAAAAGTCTGAGGGCAGCCCACGTGCCAGAGAACAGTGATACAGAACAGGATATAATTGACTCTAAGCCTGTCCGGAAAGTCAAGGGTGGAAAGGTTCCTAAAGGAGAAAAAGTTACTACATCCACTCCTCCAAGACAGGAGGATGGAGCTGCTGCTCAAACAGCAAGAAACAAAGATGAGAATGACAGTGATGCTTCCCTGGAACTAGTGGAAGTTCCAGCACCCCAGTGTGAGGTGGTCAACGTTGGTTCATCTGAGTCAGGAGATGAGAAACCAGACAGTCCATCAAAGAGGGATTCACGCAGCTCTGTGGATCAAGCAGTCATAGAAGCATCTTGCTCTGGTTATGATGAAGTGAGCTCTACCAGTGAGATTGGCACAAAAAGAAGGTGAGATTATTGTAGATCTCTCAAAAGTAAAAGCATTAAACAATATTCATCAGGCCTCTCTTTTTTGTTTTCTTCACCCCCCATCCCCCCCCCCATTCAGAAAGTCTTACAACGTCAGTAACTTTTGATTTCATTCAGGAGTGAAATAAGAGGGAAAATGAAAATTGAATTTGCTTTTTTGGTCCAATAAATGAATGTGTCTTGTTACGGACTAATTTCTCCAATATAAGAACAAGGCTGCCCTCCACAGAAAGTTTGTTTTTGAGCTTATCTGTTACAGCCTATTTTCTACTAAGTGCAGACTCTTGTATTCTGGAGTATTATTTACACCAATATTTTGTCTGACAATGAACATGCAAAGTCCAATCTCGCTACTCTTTATTTCTGTGTTACAGCGTGGCTGAGACGCAGACTTCCATATCATCACTAAGAGGATCAAAGAACTCATCAGGTATATCTTTTAAGCTTTTTGTCTGATACTTTGTGTATAGTATCTTGCAGGACTTTGAGTTAAGTCTCGATCAAACTGCTTCCAGAGGGGAATTTTGCCCTGAAGATAAAAATCTGCACTAAAAACTGAAGTGGGAAATGATGCATACTCACTTATGTCATCCTTCATTGAATGCTTTGTGCCTTGACCCTTCCACATCCCCCTGCCCCCTCCCACACGAACACTTCTGCTCCACAGTCTCTGTAGAGCTGTAGGACAAACAATAATACAATCCTTTTGCTATTTTAAAGATCTTTCTGGATTTAACATCGTATAAAAGTCTGTCTGGCATTTTATATTGCCTTCTGCCACTCACAGGCTCCAGCTGGGACCCACAATGAAATCTGACTTTAAGGTGCTGAGCCAACAAAATAGTTCTGCTGTTTGGTGATACAAGCAACAGTAGCATGTTTGCCTGAGTGTGTTCACATAATCAAAGCACATGTGTCTCTGTCCTACAGAAGTGTCTTCGGAGCCAGGTGAAGATGAAGAACCTACAGAGGGAAGCTTTGAGGGACACCTGGCTGCTGTGAATGCTATTCAGATTTTTGGGAATTTGTTGTATACTTGCTCAGCAGATAAAACTGTTTGTGCCTACAATCTGGTTGTAAGTAAGGTTGTGGGAATGGTGTTATATTAATTGCAGTCACAAGGTTGCAATTCTGGTTTTGTAAAGCCTTATTAAGTAGTTAAGGAAGCAGTTGCTTTTTCGAGCACTTAATTTTTTTTTTTTTATTCTGTTCTGTTCTTCAAACCTCTCTTCTCCCTTTCCCCAACCCCTTTGTCCTATGAGAGAGGGTAAGGGGAGATAGATTGCTCCATGTGTCCTGCTTTTGTTAGCTGTTCTACCCTAGTCTGTCAGGCACAGATCCCAAGAGACGTTATGGGCCTTTATGTTGACAGAGCCTATGCTTTCCTTTTTAGAGCAGAAAGTGTGTGGCCATCTTTGAAGGACATAATTCAAAAGTGAACTGCCTCCTGGTCACTCAGACAAATGGGAAGAATGCTGCACTCTACACTGGCTCAAGCGACCACACTATCAACTGTTACAATATCAAGGTACTTAAACTCCGAGTTGATTAACATGTACTGCTTTTTTATGAAGTGTTTCTTTGCAAATAGAAATGAAAGAAGCCTTTTAAACCCATATGAGCTGGACATGAGCCTCACTTCATACCTCATTAGAGTGGAGCAGGAAAAAAAACCCAAACCAAACAGCAAACCATGAAGTGATTTACTACCGTAATCTTTTGGCTAGCTTGTCAGCAGAGTTCTTGCCAGAAGAGTACGATTGGATCCAGAATTGTGGGAACACCAAAGTGCAGGATGGTTGTCTGGCCATGAATATCGTATTGGTCTTGCTGTATTTCTAACTCCATTGCTTATGGAAGGCGCTGCTCTCTTTGTAGAGCACCTATAGAGAGAACAGGTATCTATTATTCTGAAGGCAGGTGGAAAAGCAGACTGAGACTTCCTGAAGCTGGACTTCTAAGGATAAAGGATAGAAACGCTCATCCAACCTGTGGCTTGAAGGCCTAGAAAGCAAATACCTGCTTCAGGGGGCAAACTGCCAGAGGTTTTTGACTCTTAAGCTGATGATTCATGGCACTTCCCTATGGAAGACTTCATGGGCATTCTTCAAACTCAAGCATGTAACAGGGTATTTTTTATATATATATGTAGTCTGTAGTCTAGACTTCTATATACATTAGAGGTTGTGACTAGAATAAAGCTTTTATAACTGGTTGCTGAAGTACAGTCAAATCTCAAAGATAGGAGTGAGCTGATTAAAACTGGGATTGAACTGCCATGTGACACCAGATTTTCAGATGTTTTTCTCCAGCTCTGTTGGTTCAAAAAATGCAGCTTGTAGGTGAAAATCATCATTCACTTCAGGCTTTTTTTTCTGAATTGTTTTCAGTTAATGAAAAGCTTTAAATACTTTCTATTGCCAGACCAGAGAGTGCATGGAACAGTTTAAATTGGAAGATCGGGTGCTCTGTTTACACAGTAGATGGCGGATCCTTTATGCAGGCCTTGCAAATGGCAGCGTGGTTACTTTCAGCATAAAGGTCAGTTTGTTTAAATATTGGCACTTAAAAGCCTGTTGCAATGCTGTTTCTCTCCACTTTGTGTTTCTTCCCATTCTTTCTCTTGAGTAATAAGCATATTTGTAATTAAAGTATTTTGGTGTAAAAGGTCAGTGTTAGCCCATTTTGGTCCTTTATTTTGTCAGTGCATGATGCTGTCCCATCTCCCATTCCTTCTGGTTACCTTTCAACTGCTGTATTGTCACGTTTTTCCTTAAGTTTCCACCTGGCCTACCAGTCATGTGACATGAGAGTTTTCTGACACAGTTGATTATTTGTGAATCCTCCTTTCTTGCCCATCAAAGTAGTGTGAGAGACTTAGACATGTTGCTGGTTTTGCCTGCTCCATTTGCAGTTATAGGAGAGATTCATTCACATGATTTTCTGGCAGAGGCTTGTTCAGCAGTTCCCATGATATTTAAAAGCAAATAAAAATCATTATTTAAGTAAATTATTTTTCTGATTATTCTTTTCATGGATCCTATACTAATTTCTCAAGTTTATCCTTACAAATTTATTCTGTTTTGCATTTTTCTCATAACACTATTTCCTCTCATTGTTCTAACTCGGAAGGAAGATTTACTGGACCTTTGCTAAATAATGAAATATTTTTTTAAAAGACAGAAAATCAAAGCCCAACATAAGGAGTTATTTCCTTGATTTGGAAACTTACTTGTTCAGGTGCAACTCTTACCACTGCTGAAATGGTGTGTTACTAAACTGAAGTCAGATGCTACGACAAGTACAACACAAAAAGGACTCAGTGGTCTAGTCAGTGTGATAGCGAAGTTTTAATTCTTAAATACCATTTTGTCCTCCCCCAACAGAACAACAAGCAGGTTGATACCTTTGAATGCCATGGCCCTAGAGCAGTGAGCTGTCTAGCCACAGCTCAGGAAGGAGCACGCAAGTTGTTGGTTGTGGGCTCCTACGACTGCACCATCAGCGTGCGAGATGCACGGAATGGGCTGCTTCTCAGAACCCTGGAAGGTCACAGCAAGACTATACTCTGCATGAAGGCAAGTCTCTCTGAAAATACATTTTTGACAAAGAATGCTTAAAATGGTGTGTTTTTTCTTCGTCATCTAATAGTGAGCAGACTGTGGTAGGAAATACAGGATTTCTTTGTTTTAAATGGTAAAACCTGAATCATTTGGTAGGAAAATTGTCTCTGGCTGGCTGCTGTAATCTCATGTTCCCAGCAAAACTGTGTGTATGTAGGAAGCACGTTTATTTCATGTTGTTAGAAGATTCAGGGAATCTTGAAATGTGAGTTTGCCAACAGAAGGAAAGTTGGGGAAAAAGTGAAGCTAGCTTTCACATACCATCATTGTACAAACCTCAGGGGAAACTGGAAAAAATGTAACTCTAGAGAAATATTCTTTTTTAATAGAAGAATTGCTATCACTTACAGGTTTCTGGCTCCTGAGATTACAAGCTGGAATATATGCTTGTCTGACTGCTTTGCTGTGACCACTGTTATGTAACAGATACAGGGATGGCTTCCATAAATTGTAGTTGTCACTTCAGATATTATGGTGCAGTGGCACAGTCTTTTTTGCCCTGTGGACTACCCTAGTCCTGCTTGTGTGGCAGCGTACTGTGGTCCCTTCTTGATCCATGATAGATCTATTAAGCTTCCTTTCTAGATTAGTACTTGTCAAGAGCACTGTCTTTCTTACGTGACCAGAATATAAGTGCACAGCACATCAAATATTTCCAGGAAACAATGGGCTTTACTGTGCATGTGCAGGGCAGCATTCTGTGTTCACTTTGCTTGGTCCTTGATCTGCTGCTGAGCTGTCCTTGCGAATAGTCCATAAGTGGAATGAGTTAGCCTGGTGGGCTGCAAGTTAACAGCTTCTGATGTCAATTGTGAAGTGTCAAAAGTCATTAGAAAAGCACAGTATGTTTTCTAGCTCTTATGTAAAGAGCTCGGTGCATGCTTTTTTTTCCCACACTCTCTTGATTTAATTTAAGACTGTCAAATTGAGGAAATATTACAGTGCAACTTTAAACTGAACAGTGTCTTATGTTTTGCTTGCCCATTTCCATATTTGTTACAAAAATAAAACTTCCTTTTTTTTTTTTTTTTTTTTTTTTTTTATTAAAGTGAATGATCTGGTATTCAGTGGCTCCAGTGATCAGTCTGTCCATGCCCACAACATTCATGTAAGTCTTGTATACAAAGTTGGAATGACTTTTGCTATTAAGGCAATGAATTCCTGTGCTATAAAGTCAGTATTTCCAGAATTTTTGACTGACTGGTGGGGCAGAATAGCTTCCAATAAAGGAAGGCATATGATCTTGTTAATGTGACTACGCACTATAGCTAACTAAGGAGGGATGCTGAGGATAAAATACCTTGGGAAGCATAAACATGCTGACTCTTGTCATATGATATGCAGTGCCTTTTTATCTGGGGATCTTGCTTTTGCAAATATTACTGCTGATAATGTGGAAAGGGTTCAGAGCAAAGCCATGTGAGATATTCTGGTGTGGAAAGAGTTTCTTTATTACAGGAAAAGCTTGAGCAACACAAACAGTGTTTCAAACTAGCTGGTTCAAAAGCTGTTACCCTGTCATGAATGCTTTGTCTCTAGCTTGCCACTCTCTTCCTCTTTTACACCATCTTTCCCCTGTGCTAGCAGAAGCATTCATGTAGCTATGCAATAAGTTAAATTAAGGAACTTATCAGAAGTAAATTTTAATTGACAAAAAAATTGTATATTTCTGTGTATTTAGCTAAATTTGCTCACTGATCCTTGTGGCTGCATAAATTCTGCTAGTACTAATAGCATAGTACTAGTTGTAGGATAGGTGGGAACATGTAACTAATGATGGAAAGAGAAGTAGACACTTTCATAGTGGCATGCATTTCTGTGGTACTGGAATGGCTCTGTGTTAACCTGGGCAAAGAAAAGGATGAGTAGTTTTGATCATGATCTAGAAGTGCCTTCACAGGAAACGGAAGTCTAATAAAGGGTGTTTCCATTTTTTGAGTAGAATCATAGAATCAGAATCGTAGAATCATTTAGGTTGGAAAAGACCCTTAAGATCATCAAGTCCAACCGTAGTGAGCATTGAAGCTAGCTACCCTATCTAGATTAGCTGAAACTGTTTTGGTTTGGTTTTTTTAAAAAAAAAAACACATATTTGCCTTTGCTTTTTCTTGACGCAGACTGGAGAGCTGGTACGGATCTATAAAGGCCATAACCATGCAGTAACGGTTGTGAACATTCTTGGGAAAGTGATGGTAACAGCATGTCTCGATAAATTTGTTCGTGTTTATGAACTACAGGTAAGAAAATAGGTGGTTACTAATGACATTTGCCTTCTATGTGTTAATTAATGATTCTGAAGTCAAATAGAAGGGATCTTTGTGCTTACTGGTCTCTGGCCCATCCATCTCTTTCCTATCACTCAGGATATATAGTTGTCTCACCAGCCAAAATACATGGGTTTTAAAGAATATAACCTAAACTATTATTTTAGAACCTTATAAGATAATGACAGCTCAGAAAAATGGGAAAATGTTAGTTTTGTTTGCTTGAAAGACCAAGTGCTTAGTTGGACAAAAATACTCACAGGAGTAATGTAAGCAAAAGTGAGCTTTCATGGTGGCTATGAAGTTTGGAATCCACCAGGGGAGTTTAACTGCTGCCCAGGAAATTGCTTTTGGAAACACTGTCATTTGCATGTCTGTGAAAAATGGCTATTGACTGTCATGCTATTAAAATGTTTGTTTCTGTTTCTTTCAAGTCGCACGACCGCTTGCAAGTCTATGGAGGCCACACAGATATGATTATGTGTATGACCATCCATAAGAGCATGGTAACTTCCTTCTTTTCACTGGTGTCAAAGAGAAGGTTGCAATTTCTACAGGCATATATGAGGCAGTTTGAATTTTTCAGATAATGAAATCAATCTGCTGTCTGGCTAAGACAGAAGAACTTAGAAATGTCAGCCAAAAAATCAAGTTGCTGTAACAGCTTTGTATTTATGTAATCTTATTGTCCAGAGACAAATTACCTTCTAGCTTACTGTAGTCTTAAAACAATAGTTCTTTTCACAGTGATGACTGCAATGATGAGTCTAGAAATAGTAAAATATTCCCACTTCTCAAGCATCAGTCCTGTTTGGCTTTTAGTCAAGAGAGTCACACAGATGCTAGAGAAAAACGTCACCCACGGTCAAACCTCTAGTATCTTTGCTGGAACCTAAGCAATGATATGCAGTTGAGTTAGGTGCACAGATTTCTTCATGCATCTGCACTGCAAGATAGGTTTCAGAAGCACTTCTGCATAAGTAACTTGCTTAAAATAGTCATTAAAAGCACTTATTTGCCTGCATGTGTAGGAATTTGTTTGCAGACTTACTTTCAGATTGTAAAATAAGAGGTATAGTAATGATCTGTAATAACAGAAGAATCAAGTCTAACGGAACTGATCTCCTACTAATTGGAATACATACTGCCCAAGCTTCACTTCTCATGCAAGTGAGATGGAGAGCTAAGTGCACTCAGGCTTTGTGCTTACAGTCTGAGATTTGAACTGTCCCCCAGCAATAGTCTGTTTCAGGCATTCTCAAATCAAAGAATTGTTCAGGTGAAAAGCTTAGTGATGAGTGAAAGATGATATATCATTTTCTGTAGTAGTCTTAGTAGTAAAGTGTAGTTTCTTACACACAGCAGACTGGCTGCTATATCCTAGTGATGAATTTCCTAGAGACAAAAAGACTTGAACAAAAACAACAAATGAAATCTTCAGCTTGCAGAGTTTTTTGCATTATGTGAGGACTTTTTTTAATGATGAATGTTCTTTATGGGATTATGAGCATCTGACATCCTTTTCTTTCCAAAGGACAATTTTGTGTAGAGCATTTGCCTAACAAAAGTGGTTTTTAAGATGTCATTTTGCCTACCTTTTCAGTACCTCCATCAGTCGTCTTTTTCTGAAACTCTGATATTCTTCCTCTCCATCCCTTTTTGATATACATATAACTGGTTAAGTCCTGGAAATGTATTCAACTTGACATTTACACCTAAATATTTTTCACTTCAGGGGATAGTAACAGTATATTTTAAAGTTTTCTGAACTTCTACACACATGACACTGTCAATGATAGAAGTTACAGAAACATTTCTTATTAGTAGGTTTTTGTAAACTCTGAAGGCAAATCTTAAAAGCATTAGGTTAGACCCATTTTTTTAAATTTAGAAGCCTTGCGTGTTGGTGTTTTATTGTTGTTCATCTAATATACTCTAAAATTAAGCCTCCTTCAAAATTTGACTTCATTTATTTCTGTTATTCCCAGCTTGCCTATCTATAAATGTTTCTTTTACAGATCTACACTGGATGCTATGATGGCAGTGTCAGAGCTGTGAGGCTTAATCTGATGCAGAATTACCGATGCTGGGTAATGAGCAAAATGTTTTTAACCTTCCTTAGTTATTAGACTAATTTTATGGGGGTGGTCACTACTCAGTCTTGGATAGCTTGACCTTTAATTTATTATAATTCGGTAATATTTTTAAAATGTATATGTACATTTTAAATGTAAGTATATATCACCAGTTCCATTTTACATGGTCTTTAGTATATGTTTATGCTTTGGGGAAAGTCAGTAGTAGCATCTTAAATTATTTTTCTTTCTGGCAATTTTTAGATAGTGATATGTAACTGTTTAAAACCAAAACTTCAGCTGAGTGACATAGAAAAGCTGATTTAATCTGCTAAATAAGTTTAATTAAATTCCCAATGACTCTGTCTTGGGTAAGCTTAAATCTTGTAAAGACTTAGTTCCTCTGTTCCTCCTGCCATTCTTGCTGATGGTCTAGGCGGGGCTAGAGGTGGGAAGAATCTCTGTAAAGCTGTAATTAAAGGAATAGAGACCATTGAGAATGGAAATGGAATAAGAAGATTAAAAAGTTACAGGAGGTGGCATGTGTGTGAACAGTCTTGGTAGAATATTGTGAAGTTGCAAGAAGAAAAGCATTAGCTAAAATTCTTTTCACCTGGCTTATTCTGGCATGTTTTTTCTACCAGTGGCATGGATGTTCACTGATCTTCGGAGTTGTGGACCATCTGAAACAACACTTGCTAACTGACCACACCAACCCAAATTTTCAGACCCTAAAATGTCGTTGGAAGAACTGTGATGCTTTCTTTACTTCCAGGAAAGGTTCCAAGCAGGTATGTGGCTGAACTAACGTGGCTGTATTTGGTAGTGTAAAGTACTTTATATCACCACAGTTGTGGGACTTGATCCTATTTCTGTTAAAGGGCTAAATTCTTCTAGTCTTGACAGGCTTAACTGCATACAGTTACAGTTGTACAAGGCTAATACGGTTCAATTCAACCTTTGACAGATGAAGAGTGCAGCGGAGTATGATAACTTGAGATATGGTCAATTTAAAACAGTTTGATCCTAAAATGTTACAGGGAAGTAGTAAAATTCTTGAAATATTAGAAGAAATTTTGGTAACTATACTAAAGATGAAAAAGGAAAAAATTATTTTTAAGATGAACAACCATCAGTCTTGAAACAGATTTTTATCCTCTTAATTTTTATCTGTCACTAGCCCCCTTCATTGTTGTGGATGCTGATGCTGTTTATCTTTCACACGGGAATGGTTTTGCTAACAATCTTTAAAGAAGTAGAATGCATAAATCTCTGAGTAAATGTTAGCACAGATGGGGAAAAAAAATGAAGAAGACATAAGAGTTGGATGCCAGTTGGATTAAGTGATGTGGAAGGGGTTGGGGGGGTGAGTGGAAGGAAGGTTGTTACCTAGGGACTAGTTGGTAAAATCCACGTTTTACTCCTTGGCAATATAAACTACCTTCCTGTTGAATACTTTTCTAAATATGCAATGGAAGGAGGTTTCTTTGAGAACTAAGAAACAGAAGTAGAACCCTTAATTTCTCTTTAAGCACTGGCTTTGGATATGAGGTGTTTATTTGATATGCCCTTCTAGTCAGAAAGGAAGCTGGTTTTTATTTGCCTTGAATTATGTGGTATGTGAGATACTTTATGTGATCTTATAGCTTGGCATTAATTTCTTTTTGTTTGTTTGTTTGTTTAATTTTTTTTAGACACTGTAAGCCAAAAAAGGTATATTATCCCATATAATATCCAGAATGTCACTTTCACTGAGGCTTCAAGAATCTTTTGCAAATTTTTGTGGGTTTTTTGTGTTGGTTTGTTTGGGGTTTTTGTTTTTTTTTTTTTAAACTGACTTCTCTGGTTCTTTTCTAGGATGCTATAGGACACATTGAAAGACATGCTGAGGATGACAGCAGGATTGACTCATGAAGCTTTTCACCTCCCACATTGGGAAGTAATTTTATATGTCAGAATTATTCCAAATAACGTCAATTTCTTACTCCAGTCTTTCCTCTTTCTTTTCCCACTTCGAATGCAAATATGGAGTGGGGCTGGAATGCCTTGCTACAGAGACTGCAGATTGTGTTGCACTCTGTAGAAATAAGGCTGGTCAATTAAGACTTGGCCCAAATGGAAGATTCTTGCAAGTTTTTAATTCACTGACAGATAAGAATATTCCCTCCTCTTGACTGCCTTGTTTTTTTGTTGTTTGTTTTTTATGTTTGTTTGTTTTGGTTTTTAAGAAACCTAGTCTGAGAGTCTTGGAAGTCCAGAGGGGTGTTCAGAACTTAGACAGCAATAGGTGCTGGTGATTGCAAACTTCAGCTTGAAACCTGTTAAGTGTCTAAGATGTGTCTGGTTTTATGTTGTATCCAATTTTTTAGCTGATTTTAATAAAATTCTGCAAACCAGAATATCACAAATTCTGACAGTGTAGCCTGAATATCCAGTGTACATTTTGACTTTCTTCATAAAAGGAAAAGTATTTTATGGAGAACTGGAATAAATTAATTTTTTTAATGATAATTGTAACTTATTTTTTATTCCTTGTGTAAAAATTGCTATAACTGGCATAATATATACAGTGACAGACTGCCCTGAATACTGTACCTCCTGAGGTATTTTGTTTATTTGGAGGAAAGCAGTTATTTCTTGAGAGGTATGCCAGTAGCAGCAAAACAGCCAGAACAGTGGCTTCACTTATGTGCTTTGCAATCTTAGCCTTTTTAAATATAGGTCCTTACATACAAGAAAGAAATAAAGTGGTGTTAGCTTCTGTTTTAGTTAAATACCAGCATAACCACTGCTACCTTGATAGAACACCGTAGTTGGATTCCTGATTTTATTTGGAATCTTAGTGACTGAGCTTTGCAGTCCTGTATCTTCATGGCATAGCAAACTAAGAGAAATGCAAAGTCACTGCCTGTGTAAGTGCATCTACTTAGGTAGTATTTTGTTTCTGTTGCGAACTGGCTTAATTGGCTTGGGCTATATCAAGTTCACAAAAACTCGACTGGAAAGAATGGAGCAGGATTTTAAAACATTTTAAAGTCTGAAGTTCTCAAGCAGAAGCTGAGGATACAAAATGCATATCACATGTAAAAGTCTTGTTTCTGCTGATGCACAGAAGGTACTACAGAGAAGCCAGTGCAGAGGGGAAGACTCTTTCTACTTCTCAGGGTTCCTCTGCAGGTGTCCCTTGGGGTGAAAAACTTTACCCATTAAGTTCAGTGATATGTACTTCTTACATTTGCTATCCTCTCTCCCATAACAACACTAATTTAGCAAATAGTTCTCTTAAACAGTGAGACTAATCTAGCAAGGAGCTTTATGTTCACTTTTGCCTAACTTGCTGCTCAGGATAAAGAAAAGCAGAGGTTTCCTTAGACTGTAACAGAAGGTAAAGACAGCCCAGTATCAAAACTGAGCTCCTTATAAATTAATCCAGCGCTGTTCAAACAAACTGAATGTTCTGTTTTTACTGGGCATCTCTTTCACCACTACTTTGAGGCTTGGTATGCCAAGCATCGACCAAATAAGTTTTATAGCCTCATTCTTTGACTATAAAGAAGCTTTTTTAGGCCAAGTGATTGTGGGAGGCCCATGGATGTTCCACTCTGCCATCAAATCAAGGAACTTCAGGGACTTCTCTGAAGCACACTATTTTTGTATTGTCTTAGCAGACAAGCATAATTTCAATTGCTAGCCATTGATGATGTTTTGTGAGACGGGAGTAAAACAGGAATGAGATGCAGTAGCATCCTACTCCAAAGACATAGGAATCTCTGAGGTTCCAATGCTTTTGTGGTGATTTGTTTGGGTTTTTTTTATTAAGCTGTTTGTGGACAGGAAAAAAACCCAGTATGTGGCTCAGACCCCAGGCTGTTTAGAGGGTGTTTTTGTTTTGGTTTTTGGGGTGTGTGTTTGTGGTTTTGGGGTTTGGTGTTTTGGTGTTTTTTTTTTTTTCCCTTCCTTTCTGTGGTCTGTGGATGAAGCAATTTGAGAGACTCAAGTTCAGGGAAATCTCTGAGCAGTGTAAATGTGTTCTGATGCAGGCTGTATTGCTCTAGAGTCTCCAACAGTATTTGTTTTTTTCATGACCTAAAAGCAGAAGACTGCGTAATACTTAAACCATTTCCAAAATTATTGATGTTCAAGATTTTTCCTGGGTTTCTTTTGAACCACAATGAGGGAGCATGTAAAAGTGTGGCGTAAACAATGTGAACATCTCAAGCTGTCCTTCATGGACTGTGCTTGAAGTGAAGCTGTGGAGGTGTGTGTCCTGAGGACAAGCACGTGGAGTGATTGTAGCATTCTGAAAAACGGCATGTGAGAGTAGATTTTGTTACTTCTTCCTTGTGATTCTTCACATTCTTTCAGCTGCTTTCAGGAACGTGTAAAGATCTTTCTCACTAGGTGTTGCAACAAACACGGTTGTTACACTTTATTTGCATTCCTGGTTGCTGTTGGGTTTATCTTTTCTAGTTGGTGGAAGCAGACTTCCTTTTTTTGTAGTCCATGACATTTCCTTATCTGTCTTTGAAAACAGTCCCCCTGAAAAGTCTGGACTTCTCAAATCCAGCTTTAGCTTTAGCAGTGGTGTCTTTTGCTACTTTGTAGCTTATTTCAGATAAGAATCTTAAAATGGATAAGAAGCAGGAAAATAACAGAGCTGCATGAGTGTTTATAAAATTTTGCTTCATAAATTAAAAACAGTTTTTCAAATTGCTCAGGGGTTCAGAGGAAAATGCTGTGCTGCTTTGTCCTGAGAATATCTTAAAAGGATTTGCCATGAAGTTGTGCAGCTGTGGAAATCCCCAGGATTCTGTACAGTTCTGTGGGGAGATTTCCTGTTTGTTTAGCTGGTATTCAGTGCAGCTTTTACTAATGGCCGTTCACTTCTTCCAGAGGCAGTTGCAGAAGAGAGGTGGTAAACTAATGTGTTGGCTTGGTAGCCATTAATGAGATCCTTTCCAGTCTCGCAACTTAGGGTTTGACTCCTGATACATCTCCAGTCGAAGAGTGTAATAACTTTGGGAAGGCGGACCATTTGTGAAATTTAACGGAGTAATATTTGCATGAAAATCGGTACTGCACATCTGAAGCCTGTTTCAGGACTATTTTTGTTTTCAGTTTGTTTTTTATGCAAGTAAAAGTTGTGGGTGGAAGAGTGAGTAGAGTGAGGGTTTATTTTGTGGTTAGCTGTGTTTATTTTATTAGGCAAATGTTAAATAATGAGCTCTGGACTTGCTGTATGGCTGACTAAATATGGCAGGCCCTTTGGGGGGCAAGCCACCATTTTCCTCTTGGCAGGACTGACATTGGGCTTATTAAGCTGTGAGACGCCTCAGTGGACAGAAAGTGCTCAGAGGTATTATGGACTTTTATAATATAAAGAATAGGCCAGGCACTACTGAAACCGCTTATGTCATTCTTTTCAAAAGCATGAGAACTTGTTGCGCCATAGGCATACCAAGCCCTGCCCAAGCTCCAAAAGGAGGGTGTGAGTAGCATAAAATGATCGCTTAAAGTTCACATGTGCTGCAGAGCTTAACCTTCCCCAACCCTGATAGCCTCACATGTATTGAATGATAAGGCAATCCTAGGGTTGGGCTATATTTGTTGCTCCTTTTTCCTTCAAATCACAGGGAAAAATAACTTAACTGACAGTGCAAAATACTTTATGGCCTAACACTGCTGCTTCTGTATGTGGAAGGGGCCAGAGGGAGAACTGCTGCATCCATTGGTACAAAGATGCATTAAATATCCCAGCTTCTGTTTGCCTTGTGTCACTTATGTGTGGATTGCAGACTTTAAACATATTATCAGTGCATGAGCCGACTTCTGCAAAATAGCAGGCGTTTGGCTGTGCAGTGTGTTTGAAGTAGTGCAGTTCTTAATGCACGCTTTCAAACTGTATAATGATGCCGCATCAAGGTAAACGATAACTGAAAACTTGTGATAACCTGTAGGTTCCCAGAAATAAAAATGTGGTGTTAAGAAAATATTTTTCCCTTCTTTTGAATTAAAACACAGGTACAGATGAATCTTGGTTTTCAGGCTTGTGTGGTACTATCACTCAACCAGTCTAAGTTGTCCAGAGTTGCAGAATATGTGAGGAAGGATAAGGTTTCAGCTACTGTTTGTAAAATATTTAATAGTGAAAGTAAAGAGCAAACTGTGTGGGTATATATTCTGTTATATGCACCTGCCAGCTTCTCAAATTTCATTTTGCTGTAAGTGTGGAACTGGAATTAAACAACATGACAGAATATTTAATAATTTAAGCTGTGTAGAACATGTGCACAGATTGACCTTGGTTTTCTTCTTTCACTTTGGTACAAAGCTGTGAGCATAATGATGAAACTTTACACAGCAAAAGAAGAAAAAAGAAGAAAAAAAAAAAAGAAAAATAAAAGTTCTTTATATTGTTATGGTTTGTCAGTCTGATTCTTCTTTGTTTTGAATAGTATGAGTCTTTCACAGGACTTTTGGTAGAACTTGACTTTATTCTGGATTTTTTTCCTTTTTTAAGAGGGCTGGATAAAATCAGACAGACCACTTCGAAGCTCCAGCACTGGCAGGAATGTTGCAAGTTTTTGCTCCCAATGTGCAGGAATCTCAGACCTAGTTGTTCGGCAGGGAAAATGGACACTCTTCACCCAGATGGTGCCGCTGAGATGAGATGACATATTGACTCCCTGGCTTCGTGGCCTGTTGCAAAGGGAAGTTCTCTAGAACTGTTGGTAGTTCACTTAGCAGGACTTTAAGGACGAGTTTTGAGTTGCCAATCAAAAATCCTGATTTTGATCCTCTGACTGATAGATTTTGGTTTTCTCTGAACACCCTCACCAAGAGCATCTCTGCCATATTTTTGTATGGAAAATAATAGCTTAGTGGAGAGAACACATGGCTGGAACCCAGGACTCCTACTGTTCCAGTCATCTTAAAACCTTGATTTGGGTTAAAACAACAGTTGAATTTAAAGGAAAATAACTCTTCTTTAGATAAACTGTAGGATTTTCTTACTCTTTCAGAGTAAGTTACAGCGCAGGACAACATTAAGAACTTTAGAGTCAAAAGGTTTTCTGTTTCTTAGTGACCTTTCAACTAAATGTGCTACTTACCAAAATAACTTTGAGTGGATGCTACAATTTGTTTTTACAGTTTTGCTATAGTGGATTGCTTTTCACCAGTAGAGAACTAAGTAGAAGGTTCTCCTGATGAAGTCTGGTCTCTTCACACCTCTTCTTGCACATCTTGTTGATCAGTATAAAAATGGAAGGAAAACCAATTCACCAGTTCTGAAAGCCTGTCATCCTTAAAGCTGGTAAGATGGAGCTCTCAAGCTCAAGTGCTTTTTTTTTATTTTTAATGCATTCAGGGAGCAAACTGGCAAGTGCTTGAGATATTAAAGTGATTTCACGCTTGCCATAAAACTCCAAAAGCTGCTGTGTATTCAGGAGAATGACGGAAGAGTGCTCAATGTTTCATCCTCCTTATGTTCTTTCAAAATAAAACCAAAAAACAACTCTAAAGATTAGGCCAAAATCTAGTTGATTTTATTTTTGGTTCAATTAAACTACTTGTACTTACACATCATAATAATCTTCCCAAAGTGGTCAAGCTAACATAGTGTCTGATTCTGCTACAAGTCACCTCTTACAACAAAGAAATACACAATGCTATCAGGAAATAGGATCTGGGACAGGGGGAAGTGTGTGTGTAGATATATATATTTGTATGTATAAGAGGTTTTCCGTCTCAAATGGCAAACAACTTTCTCAATGTTACACAGGATGCAGTTACAATAAAAAACATTTAAAATGTCCAATGTGTAATTAAGTTACCGTGGGGGTACTAAAAAAGAGCAGATTGCTCAGTTCTGATACTTTTGCTGAGGCACTAGACCAAGATGTAACCTAGGTATTGGAGTCTGTTGTGCCTTACTTCCATGTTTCTCACAGAGTGGAGAACCAACCTGCACAGCCACATCTATAACAATGCACAGCCACATCTATAACAATGCAAGTGATTGTAAGTGTTATTAATGCAATCTAGCACAATCTCATGTGAAATATTCACATTACGAAGAGGCTGAAGTGATAGTATCAAAAGCAGGACAAAGAGTTAATGACTACTTACAAGGTGGTAGTAAACACCTCTGACTTTCACAGTTCAAATAAAATCCCAGTTTTGCCTGACTTGAGGGAAGACTTTTCCAGTTGTCAGCATAAGCAGAGTAACAATACAGGCTCCATGTCTCTACCATGCAGAAAAAGCTTAATTCAGTCATCAGTAAATTAATCCTTGTTGCCCGAAGGAAAATGTCAGTAAGTTATAAAAGTAGTTACAGAATATGCACTCTGGTCAGCCTACTGGAGTATGGTTGTCTCTTTTTCCAAGGGATTCTTCCCATGCGCCGTTTATCTGGGCAAGTGAAGTGTGTAATTAGGAAATGCTCTTGTTTGCACTTGCGGATGAATGGAGCTAGTTACTCAAAATGGAAGTCTTGAGCGTTTTCTTGAAGGTGGGTGCCGGCTCTAGTGTTAGGCGTACATCGTGAGCTGCAGCCACTGAAAGAAGAGTTGGAATTAAAGGATGAAAGACTTGTTGGCATCCTCCAACAAACTGTATTGAGACAGCACTGTCTCTCTAGCTGGAAGGCAGCTGCTTGCTGATACTTAGTATGAAGCATACTGGCAGTGGGGAATTTTGTCTTAGGCTTCTTGCTCCTATTCCTCCTTCCCTTGCAAAAAGTGAAGGGGGTTTTTTGTGGTCTCCCTAGCAGAAGACATGCTTTTAAGTTGAAACTTTCTAAGTCGTCTTAATAAGATTTTAAAAAAAGGTAAAGAACTATGTTAAACCCCATTATCAGTTAATGCCTTTAAACTAAAGTATGTTTGATTTAAATTGCCTCATGAAAAAAAAACTTCAAAGGTTTTTTGTAGTACTTTAAAGATGATATGAAGAGTCCGCAGCTGTGCCCTTCAACACCAACTGGAGTCTTACAGAGCAGCTGTTGCTGGCAGATCATAGATACAGGTGTTTTCTGTGTAAAGTAGGTAGCAAAATTTTTAGGAGGTTTTGTGGACTCTTACTACTTGGATGACAGTTTCAGACCAACTCTCATAGGCTCCCTTGAGAATGTGTGCCATGAATAATACAAATAAAATTTAATATTGTGACTTTGTGTTAGAAATACTGGCATAAACCAGTTTACCTCCAGGACATTGAGCTTAATGATGCCGTCTCCATCTTTATCAAAGGCATGGAATGCCCCTAAAGCAAGGAAACAAAAGTAGAGTAGATTAAATTACTGTGTGTGTAAAGATGATCCCAAATAGCAAACCAAATTGTGCTCCTGCTGTGTTGTGCAAACTTGTGCAGATATTTACTTACGTGGTTAGCAAGTATTTCTGCTATGTTTTTCCTTAGCTAATACAAAGAGAAACACAATGGCTTATTTTCTTTTGTGTTTGTATGGGACAGCTGTCATATTTTAGATTCCCTAAGCACATAAACTATTAAAACTATATATAGGTAGTAGTGCTTTGAGTACAGCAATGTGTTTTGGGGGTGAGGAGGGGAGGCAGCGCAGTAAAACTGGGGCAGCCACTCACTGAACATGGCATCCAGGCGCACGAAGCAGCAGATGAAGCTGTCAAAGTCAATGTTCATGTTCTTGTCAGCGTAGCGCATGGTGATGATGTCGTAGAGCTGGTTGTTCAGCCGAAACCCTGTAGAGGACCAGAAACAGGGCACAGCTGGGCTGTGGCCGGGGGGAGGTGCTGGTGCCGGAGAGGGGCTCCAGGAGAGGTTTGGCCATCAGCGCTTCCTGGGCACAGCCAAAGCTTAGGCTGGAGGCTACTGCTGCAGCCACTACTAAATAAAATGAAGTAAAGCTGTAAGGAGCTTCCCTCTGTCCAGCTGAAGTAGCATTTTGAAATTACAACTTGGGAGGGCCAGTAGCACATGAGTTACCTCATGCTGTAAATATGAAGAGGAGGGGTCCTCCACCAAAGAGTTTGCAGCCTAGCTGAGCCTGATAAGAGCAAAGCAACAAAAATGGCAACAGAAGCCAAGGAGGAAGTTGCTATGAAAACAGTTACATCATGGTCAGAAAAATAGATAAGGAGGTAACTCTTCGGCATGGCGTTACCAAACTCTGGCACTAGCTGCTGCAGCATGTGACCATGCATCGTAAAGGGTCTGTTGTGATTTGGGTACTGCTGGTTCTTGGCTAAGTGCAAGGTCATGCACAGCCTACGTGCTGTAAGACAGAAATTTTTATTGCAAAATGTATTCTTAGTTCTAAAGTCAGGGTAGGAGGTATTTAATTTTTTTTTTTTAATTACATTGACAACTTTCCTGGTGAGAATGGAAACCTGGAAAATAAAAATGACCCACATTTCTACTGCAGCAGGAGTCCGAATCCAGGTGTATTTTTGTCCTTAGCAAAGGATCAAATCACTGATGTTTTGTAAAGTACATGATAGCTATCTGTTTCTGTTCCTTGATGAACTGGTAACTGATGTGCCAAAATACTACTGAAGATAAAGTGTCACTGAAATCATCACATTTAGGTTTATAGTGATGCTACAGATTTTCTGATTAAAGAAGCCATCTTGCTCCCTTAGAGAAACAGCAGCTGGTAAAGATATTTGCTGGAGAAGGCCTGCTGTCCAGGGAAAGAAGCACACCAATGAGCTTGAGACAAGAAGCAAGAGTCAAAAAAAAAAAAAAAAAGTCAAAAGCCTCTTTTTGCAAGATGAATTTCATTAGCTGCAATTTTTGGAAAAGACTTTCTTCTTACTGCACAGGTAGAAGAGGAGACTGAGCCCACAGTGGCTTAGTGCCACTAAGAAACATGAGTGGGACTCAGGAAATGTCCATCCAGTTGCCTCTGATGCAATCTTGGACATTGACTTCCTCTACCTCAATTTCTGTGCCTGTACACTTGGGTTGAAGGTTTTCCACTATTCTTTGATTGTTACTTACACAAACATAAAGAATCCACAGCTTAAATGAAATCGAATGTCTTCAGGGCTCACTGGTCACCCTGAACAGCAGGACCCCGAGTGGGAGATCCTAAGGCAGCACAGCATCATTCATTGGAAAGTTTAAAGAGCTGAAGAGATCTATTTGGTGGGCAAGACATACAGACTTGCTGTTTGGATATTTGAGAAGCTCTGCTGGGGAAAAAAAGATTTTTGAATTTCTGTAGGGTGTCTTTTTAAAAGGCTGCACTATGTTCCTGATTTCACCTTGTGATAGATCAACCAAAATAAGGTCTCTTTGGCTGTTGGGCACTGAATGCTAGGAGAATTACCTGCATCATTGACTGCATTGCGCATCTCGTAGCTGTTAATTGTTCCCGAATGATCTGTGTCATAACGCTTGAAAATTTTCTGGAAAAAGAAGAAAAGAAATACACAACAGAAATAAAAGCTTGTACTTTTGTTGAATGTACCCACTGAGTGGGTATAGGATGTGTGCCTCAGGCACTTGGAGGCTTTGCCATTTGCCTTATATTGCTGCTTCTGGATGCTCTGGGTTGTTAGCACAGACCTCCTCTTAGTCACAAAGTAAAATAATTCAGACCCATGCTGTGAGAAGCAAAAAGCTCTCACCTAGAGACTCTCTGTGTTTGACTTATGTGGTTATTACTCTCTCTTGACTGTCCTAATTAAGCTTTTCATGAGGCCTGATTCTAGTTCCCATTGCCCTCCTCCACCAATTTGTATGCCTCTGATATTCTCATGGGGGAGGTTCTTACATGAGTGCTGGAGCTTCAGAGATTCAGGCTATTTGCTTAGGCTGTGAGTAGGATGAGGGGAGACATTACTTTTCTTTTTAGAAGCTAATTTGCAATTTTTTTAGCTTTTCTTTTTGTTGTAGTATGTGTAGAGAGGTCTGGTTTTCCCACACAAGCTTTCACGCTGCAGAAGCTGTGAAGAACAGCACTGCGGATACCAGCAATACCTGCCAGCTTTTGATCTTGTCCCAGAGATGTCGAAACTCATCGAAGTTTATCTTCCCTGAGCCGTCTGTCTGTGATGCGAGCATTCAGGTAAAAAAAACACAATATTTTGAAGAGAAAATTAATTAAGTCTGCAGCTACTGGTGAAGGGATGAATTTGAAACCGAGTTCAGGATCTCCTCAGCATAAGAGCTGGCTGAGCCGCGCAGTAAAATATCCGCGAACATTTTGGCTATTGTGCATAGTATTTTGTTTCAGGAGTGTGAAGTACTATTTGTACCTTGTGTAGAAGCAAACGTGTGGTACAGGAGACAGGCTTGCTCCTGGAGCTATTACAAAGTATATGAGCAGGATGTTTTAGAAGGCTCTTTCCAAATACGTCCAAATGTGAAGCTTACCCAACATCTTTAAGACAACTGAGCTTCATTCTAGAGTGAAGCTCTTTCTGCCTTGCTTAAAATGAATTGAGAACTAAGCAAAATGTTGACTAAAGCCATATCCAGAAATGTGTTTGGGCTCAAACTATTGTGGCTCTGGGTTGTAGCTAGAATTTTTAAGAGAGAAATATAGTAAATTTGTTGGCAAGAACTGTAGTTATGTTGAGTTGGTTTAAAAAAATTTTTTTTAAGAATCATGCTTTAGTAATGAGCTGGCAAGTCACTGATATCCAAGAAAGGGTATCATACTAACTGACTTATACTGTAGTTTTCTATTTTGGGATATTTGCATCTGCCAACTATGCTAATGTTGAAATGACTGGAGTTAAGATGTGCCAAACCAGGAATGCTGTGTTACCTGACTACAGACTGTAACGTACTGTTCGGGTTTCCTGGCTTATGAAGTTGTGTGTGTGTAGTGGTGGGAAATACGGCCCAAGTGGACTAGTGTGGTATCAAGCACTCCTCTTTCACCAGAAAAGGATACATCCATTAAAGCAATCATGCTGCGGCAGGATTCCAGTTCAAATCCTTCTGACTTTAGGTCCTTATCTGAAATAAATGATCCCAGGTGAAAACAGATCATGCAAGTCAGCAAGTGCTTCTTCCTCTTAGGTGTAACTCTACTCAAAGTAGAAGCCAAACCTACTTCCTTCATCCAGTAAGAAATGAGTGGTAGAGCAATCTGAAAAGACTCCAGGTAATGTTATTGCACATGAACTAGAGATTACTTTTCTTGGTCTGTTGTATAGAATAAAAACTTTAGGAACTCTAAACTAACTTCCAGGTAACTAAGCAAGCCCAGGGTCTGTAGGCTAAAGTTTGCTAAACAGGGAGAAAGGTCTGCCTCTCCATTAGAATTTTTTTTTTTTAAAAGGGCATTTGCAGGCTGCTAGAAATGCTATAGTATTCTGTGTGGCGCTTCCAATGAACATTTGCTCATTTCTGCATTATCAGTACTTGATCACTCGTAGAGAGCATCTCTATGAAAACTTCAGCCCGCTAAAGTCTTGGATGCAAAGTCCATGGAAGTTTAACTAGGAAATTTGTGAGTTTGATACTGTAAATAATTTTTAGAGTGCAACTCAGGGTGGAGGGTTATGCTATACCACAGATTTCTTTGTCCAGAGTTACTGAAAAACATGCTCAAACTCACGTTTTTTTACGACATTATTGAGAACATTCCTGAGTTCTTCAGCATTGATCTCCATGTCCTGGTGGGAAACGTGGCAAGAATATCATTAATTACAACATTCCTTATTAAGCAGATCATTTTATGGATAGATATGCTAAAAGTATGAAGTCTTTAGCTACTTTTCAGTATGGCATATACATGTTTCAAACTAGAGAGCATTCTAGTTCATATAAACATTAGTCCAAATCTTTCTTGAGGCTGCAGTATGAAGTAGGTCTAAAGTTACCATATAGTGTTTATTAAACTACAAATAGAAGAACGACCAGGAATTTCAAGCCACTATATAATTTTGTATAAGCCAAAAATCCCTGTAACCCATTTGCAGCCTCTTGATTTATGCAGTTCTTTGATCTGTTTTTACTTTTAATTTCCCTTATTAAGCATATACTGGAGGGCATTGTATTTCTAACTTGTTTATACGTGCTATGTAAAATAGCATCTTGTAGTAGTGATAGAAGTAAAAGCCTGAAGTTAAATAAGGCTCCCTTGTATGCAATGGGAATAGCTTATATGTACATGTGAGGATAGCTGTATACTTAATTGGATTTTGATTTGATTTTGCTTAGCTTCAGGTCTCAAAGGGAATTTGATGGAAGGAAATTCAAAGGAAATTTAAAAATTCAGTATTTTGAATCCATGACGCAGTGGATTTAGGTGCTGTTGTGGCTAGGCTGCTTTAATGGCAGAGACAGGGATCAGTTGCATACTCACATCCCCTGCAATCTGTCGGAAAATATTCCTGAACTGTTTTTCTTCTTCAGTCCCCTCACGAGCTTTTGCTGAAGGACGCTGAAAAGAGACAAGCAAAGAAGAGATACAACCTTAGCGCAGCAGGGAAGGGAAGGGGTCTGGGGGACTCACTCGTGCTTGCGTGAAGGAGTCTCATGGTGAATCTGGAGCTCTTTGGAGGAAGGGGTCGTCTTCCTTTCCCCTTTTTTGGCTAAATGTGTTCCTTGGCAAAACTGCTGAGTATTAACCCATTTCTCTTGGAAGGAGCCTAAATGATTACTTCCACTGACAGTTGTTTATCTTCTAATTTTTTGTTTCAAAACATTGCAAAGGAGAAGTTTGGAGCAGAAGAGGCATATCTGCTCCATAGCCACCCTGTAGGCTATGAATTGACCAGAAGGACTCAGGCTTGAGAGCTCTTTGTATGTAGGGGGTCCCTTGCTGGAGACAAGTAGCACATGAGACACAGGAAAATGATGAAAGTGAAGCTTTCTCAGACACAAGCAAAGAGCAAGCCTGAACTCTGAGGCTGATACTGAAAAAGGAAGCTATATTTTATTTCCCTCCCCCCCAATATTAAACTACAGGAATTATGTGTAACCAAGTGAATTTCTTGGCTTAGTTCTTATTTGTGTTTGTCTAAATGCCAAGGAAGGTTAAGATTGGTCCCCACTTCGCCACCTGCATGCTCTGGCAGTCGTGCAGCAGAACAGCATGCTCGCTGTAAGCAGCCACTCAAGCCGTGCCTCCAGATGCCACAGGCCTGGGTGCAGGATCTGGCTGCTGCATTTCACATCCCTTGCCCACCTGCAGGCAGAAACTCCAAATTCACTACCCTGTTTTCCTCCTCTCTGGTAGTGAGAGAAAAGAGGAGGGGTGCAGGAGCTCCTAGGGTTACTCAGGTGTGTTTTCTCTGGCCAACAGGGACTGGTATAGGGCTGTGTAATTTGTAGTGGGGAGAGTCTGTGACCATTGCCAGGAGCGCCTGAAGCCCCTTGGGTGCGACTTGCGCATGTGCCCTGTGTAAAGCAGGTACTGCTTCAGGGGGCTGAGCAAGAGTGGGTTGAACTGCACTGCTCGTGGGGAAGGGATCTCTCACAGATGGGATCCTTGTATGACAGCGCAACCAGGAGATGTTTTCAAGCAACTACATCCTCCAGCATAGGTGTTAAATAACTGAAGGGAGAGTGGCTGTTCGCTCATGCTCATTAGATCCACATAAACCAGATGCAAGTTGTGCTAAGATTTGATGAAAAGCTGTTAAGTATCTAAGTATGTTTGCCCCATTCCTGTGCTCTACCCAGCCACTCATTCATGCTAGCCAGCCCAAGCCCTATTTAACCCCTTGCTGCAAAACCTTTTTCTCATCCACATGGGTTTTTTCACCGTCTTTGCCAGTGTCTTCATCTGCTGTCAGCTCCTTATTGCTGTTTGCTCTGTCGGAAACAAAGATGATAGGCTAGAAGAAGAAAGAGAGCAAAAGAGAAGTGGAAATTACACAAAACATAGGGGAAGGCAAAGTATTTGGGGACACCCATTCTGTGGTAAAGCACATGCAGCAACAGCTCCTGCCCTGAGAGGGTGCCTGCAGAAGCCAGAGCTGGGAATGAAAGAAAAGAAAGAAAAGAAAAGGTGGGGGAATTTCTGAAGTTACTGCTCTCCTCATGCTACAAAAGCTGCAAAAGTCTTTTTGCAAAATATTGCAATCTCTGGCTTCTAGCTTTCCTTTTCAGAAAGCCAGTAACCATTTAAAAGTTACTTTTTTTTTTTTTTAAAGCAAAATAAGCCTCCCAGATTCTCAATTCTCAGTTAAACTGATGAACTTTCTCCTCTCTATGAAGGACAGTAGCACTGAAAGCAAACAGAATCTGAATCCTACACAGAAAGCGCGTGTTTGTGTAGGAGCCTGTTAATTATGTGAAGCTTATGTTCTTTCTCTGTGTTAATTCTTGTAGCATTCAGCTGTAAGCAGCCACATGCAATTGTTCTGTTAGTACATTTAAAACACGGAAAGCTGCAACAAGATGTAAATGTGTTACCATAGAGTATTAATTGCCATCAGCCTGTCTTGAGATTAAAATGCCTGGTTACGTTTTCAGGGTCCTAAATGTGTTGTGTAGAATTGAAAGGAGAATCCTGGACTCTGGTGAGCAGAAACTTCAGGAAAGAGGAGTAGCTGCATTAGGCAATGGAAAGCGAATGTGAGACTATGTGTCTGGAGAAAGGGTGATTTTTCACTAGAAAGGGGTGTTGGGATGCCTGTGGAGGGGCAGGAAGGAAGGAAGGGAAGTTGAGCAACCCAGAGGATCAAGCTTGTAAAGCTGAAAAGTTTCTGTCACCCTTTTCCCACCCCTTTGAGTGAGAGGGGTATGTGATTCTATAGCTATTTCATTAGATTTTAGTGTAGAAGGGCAAAATCTTTGCTGCCTGCAAATGGCTTCTTATCCAGTGCCCTTCATTAATGAGACCAGTTTCCAGATGCAGAGAAATCACTAATGATACCAAGGAACTCTGTTCCTGCTGCATGCATTGCACATGCTCTTTGTCTTGCTGGCACGCAGCACACTGCACAAGTACCCACCTTGCCCTTTTTCTTCTTCTGTACAAAAAGAAACAATTTTTTAAAAGGTGTTTTTAAACAGAATTGTAGATTTTGTGCATATTATGCAGAGCTGATGGTAAAATTTCATTTTTTTCTGTTTCCCTTTCTCACGTTTCTTTTTCTGATTCTTACACAGTTTCCAAATCTCAAAAAATGAGGGAAAATGCACCCACCAAGAAATTGCATACTGAAAGACAGAAATTGCAGAAACACAGCAAAAGTGTCCTATCTCATCTGGGGCTTTCTCTGCTTGAATAAAATCTCTATTGTACCTTTAGCTCTGACTATTCCTTTTCTTTTTCCCAGCCCATCAGTACAGTGGAGATTGGACTTCTGTGCCCACAGATCAATGTTATCTGAAGTGGCAATTAAATGCCACCAGACCTGGACAGCTTTTTTGTTATCATGACAGCAGATGGAAGGGGAACACTTCTGAGCAAGATTGGATGGCACTCTGTTCTGTGCAAGAGCATTTCCTCTGAATTTTTTTTTTCAAGACTAATTGTATTGTTAGCTCTAGTATATTCCCATATAGATGTGTAAAACCCCAGGCTGAAGAGTTAGAGCTTCTCATGGATGTAGTTTGAATCAGAGTATCAGTAAGACCCCTTTCCAGAAAGCATGTACTTCAAAATAAGGTACTTTTTTCTTTATTAGATGAGATACCAATTTCACAGACAAATCTCAGAGCACAGAGCTAGGCCTCCGCAGTAAATGAATACTCTCAATTGATGGAGGCAAAGGCAATGCTTAGCATCCAGCTTCTTTACGCCAGGAACAGACTTCAAATCTGTCAAAACATTTTGGTCTGTCCAAATTAGAAAGTAGCGTATATAAAGCAAGTGTTAATTAAAGTATCTTGATGAGAAATGTGGCCATAAATGGCTTCCTCCTGCAGGATTCCCTAGATGTGATGCTCCTCCCCTCCCTACTTCTATTCACATACACAGGAGGCCCAGGACAGTACTTACCGATGGACGCTCTGCCTCGATCATGTTTTCAACCTCCCTAGAAGAAAGCAGAAAGTAAATAAATCAGGAAAGTGGCTGTTCCCAAAACTGCTTGTGTCTGTAGCTGGTTTGTAAGCAGCCACTTGACCTTTCCAAACAGGCATTGGTGTGAGCTGGCTTCCAAGCATTGCAGCTGCAGGCTCTAGACATAGTGTTTCCCACTTTGAGCTGAGCATCCCGAGTACCACTTCCAGGAGCACTGCTGCCTGGTTTACTCCTCTAAAGGGTCTTGATAACACTGAACTTTGACAGCTGGGAGTAAAACAGAAGCTGTTTGGCCTAAGCAAAGTGATACTGGCTGCAGTTTGTTGAGATCTGGGAAACTAGTTGAAGAGCAGGATGGAAAAGAAATAACTACCTACTTTTATGTTTTATTTGTGACTGAGATTAGATCTGGTTCAATGATCTATCTGGTCAAAACTTCAGCCAGTGGCATATAGCAATAAAAAATAAACAGGTTCATTTTTGTTATTAAAAATGGTATGTTTACAAAGGATATCCTGCAAGTAGTAAGCTTCTCCAAAGACAATTCAAAGTAGGCTCTTGTTAGACTATAAGGGAAGTTTGGGGAAATAAGTTTGCAGCTTGGAGTTTGTAATGAGGTTAAGAAAATTAAAAGCAGGGTGCAGCAAACTGGGAACATGACTATAACAGTCTAGCAAGTTCACATCCACCTTTTTGGCCAGATAAATGGATCTGCAACTTACTCTGACAGACTTCTTTTCTCTGAGAAGACCCTCAGGATGAATTCTCCCTCCTGGTGGGGTTCATATGTCGATGGGATGATGACGTACTCGCTGGGAGGTAGCCGGAAGCGCTCAGAGATTTCTCGCATGTTTATATAGGTCTTACTTCTAGCTTTGGAGGCATTGTAGAGGAAAAAATCCTTTTGCAAGTGGTGCTTAGTACCATGCATCTGCAGAACAAATGAGGCGGTTGGTCTTCAAGGAAGTTTTACCCATTCCCCAAGGTAGCTTGTCACACAGGCAGTACATGGTTGGGACAGAAAACACATATGAAACAGCAGCTTAGCAAGCAGGGAGCTGACGAGGGATGCTAGCCTGGAACAGATATGGAGTCTGTCACCTTTAAGTTGCTACTGGCTGGGTCTAGTTGGCTTCTGAGGGCTGCTCCAGGGCCCACCTGCAGAGCATTGGCTGACTTCTGCTGTGTAGGCCCTTCTATCTGACTGTTTTGTTGGATGCTAAGTTGTGTGTAACCAAAGTTCAGCTACTTTCCTTGGAGGGTGGCCTGGCAAGGAATGGTATATGCAAACTCCTACATGCAGTGTGAAGGTGCTTTCAGTGGAAACCTGTCGTTGCCTGGACAAAACATGAATTCTGTATCTGCTAAAGAAACATGATAATCAAACATTGTATTGGTTCAAATAGAAAAATTAAGTCAAGAATTTTGGGCTAAAAAATTATTTTGTTGCAGAAATAACCACCTGTAAAATAGTCAGCAAAGACAACATTCAGACTGTCATCTTCATGTTTTCCAGGTAACATAGCCTTCAGGTGAGCTTGTTTGCAAAACTTGTGATGACAATGATTCAGCTACTGGCAGGCTCTGAAACACTTAATCTGTGTATTTTTAATACGTTTTCTTCAATGGCTGAAAATACCATTTTTTGTCCAAACAAATTCTGAGACTATAGAGAAAACTCTGTGGCTGCAGGATACAGGCCATTGGCATTATTTGCAGGAGGAAATGAAAGTGCTTTAGGGTGCTTCTGTGTGGGGTGTAATGCCAAAGTGCTCACTGACACTGCTTCCTGCAACCTAGCTCACTGACTGGCTGTGCAAGACATGGCCAGGTTGCATACGAATAGAAAAGAAGGGCAAAGGAAAAGGTGCAGGTGAAAATGGGGTGTGGGTGAGAAGGAATTAAAAATTACTCGCAAAGGGTTACAAATAAACACTCAAAGCAGAAAGGTTAGCAGTTTCACTTTTGTTACATCCCTGAAAACAAACTTGACTTGGATGGTTTCCTGCTGACTTACAGACAGGCACAACAGTAACACTAGCTGTGAGCATACACCAAGATGTCAATCTGCCTCCGTTCTGCTCATACCTCTTTGGGCACCTGAAGGAGAAACAAAGAGAAGAAACAGTCAGAGCTGCTGGGTGAGTCCACTTGTTTATAGATAATACAGAAGGGCGTTCACATAGATTTCTGGGAATGCAGACAGTAAATAAAATGCCCCAAGTTACATAATTTTTCTAAGCAATTTCTTTCTTCCTTTCCAGATTTCTTGGGATCTGCATGATGTCGTCCACTAAGATCTGAACTAAATATGTTTGTGTGAGGGACTGAGTAAATTGACTTCTTCATGAAGTCCATAGCAGGGACAGAGGTTAATTGGTTAATTGCTACGTATGAGTCTTGGATATCTGTCTCCTTTTTTACACTATTCTGTTAATGAAATGTTTAGTTTCAGCAAGGATGAAAGGGGGATTGAAGGATATATGGAAAAGAATATGTTAAAATCTGGCATTAAGTCACCATAAAAGCCTAAAAAGTGTGTTACTTATAGATGGGGTAAACCCTGAGTTTACTATGGGCTGAATGGTTAAAAAGCCTTGAATTTCCTTCCTCTCTTCCAGGTTTCCCCTGAGTTCCTTGCAAAGTAAAAATTGCAATCCGTGTAGTCAGGCTGAATGATTTAGTGGCACTCTTGGTAAATGTATACTGTCAGAATTTGTGACCATGGTGCTAAGAACAAAGTCTAGAGCTGGTACCTCGTAGATGGCAAAGCCAATGGTGTACAGGTTGGCTCCCAGCTTGCGTTCTTTCCTCCTATTTTTCTGCATCAGTGCAACAAGGAAGCTGCAGACAACCTCTTCATCCTCAGGATCATCATCTTCCTCCAGGAGCTTCAAGCGATACTGGGGATTGGTCCAAAATGTATCTGTGAAATCCCACCAACAACCCAAAGCAAACATGTAAAGCTTCAGTTTTCTAACAATACTCATGATCAAAGAGAACCTTTAAGTTCCCTGCCTGTGGCTCCTGAGGGAAAGGTTAAAATTGGGCTAATACGTATATACTTTTTACATGTTATGGGTTTTACGTAGTTCTAACCAAACTGCACAGCAAAAGAACATATAAAATGAAGAATTGACATCTGACAAACTTCCAAAGAACCTAAAGCTATCAGAAAGTGGATTTCACAAGTGAAATCTGTTGGAGTGAAATTGATCTCTCTTATCTTACTTGGGGCACTGTGAAGTATTTGAACAATGATTTATCTTTGCCAGGCCTGCCTTTTGGGCTTACAAGGTGCTGTCACAAACCTAGTGACAGATTTCCAGCTACAAAATCATATGCCTTGTCCACTGAAGAAGCAAGGCTTTTCCTATGACTGAGCACTGATCAGGCTGCAGTATGACTTAGCCTGTGGGATCTAATACAGTCCCTGGCAAAGAGGCCTTATCTCTCTTAAGACCCATTGCTCACCTGGATAATTGCGGCAACCTCCAGCTGAGCAGCCTCTCACCCAGCGCCCTTCGTTGACTGACACAGTCCAGGTATGGAGTTTGTCAGCTTCCAGCGTATCAGGTGTGAGGTTACAGATCTCAAGTTTTGTGAAGTGCCTCATGAAATCTTCAAATGATATCCTGGAGCAATTGAGGGGAAACTGAACCCAAACGGATTTACATGGTGGGTGGTTGTCCTAGTGAGGTGGAGGAGGGTGACCCATGTTACTGCCACTATTAGGGCAAATTTGCAGTAGGAGTGCCATGGCTAGTCAATTAACACACGTACTGCTCCAAACTGTGGGATGCTAGGCTGAGAGGATGGTACATAGGAAGGGTGATGGAGAGTTTCTGGAAGTGTGGCATAATTAGAAGGACTGTGCTGGTGGCACTCCATAAACCCTGGTGGGAGAATGAGGGGATCACAGAGCAGGGCTCATTGGGAATATGAAAATGAACAGGGATTACTGCAATAGTTTTAGCAGATTTAAGTAGTTCAGTGTGATCAATTTTTTATGTAGTTGCATATCTCCTAGCGAAACACAGGCTTTTGACTGATATTCTCACCAGAACTCCCCATCCTCCATGATCTTGTGCTGCAGGCGGATTTTCTCTGCTTCATTAATGAAGTTCCACTCCTCTGACCTTCAAAAGAGTACATAAGTTAGATTATGATTTGCAATACAGTTTTCATTTAAAATTTCTACTCTTTACTGTAAGCCTCGTAGAATGGAAAGTCAAGAGTCATCTTGCGACATCCATATAATTTTTCCTTTGTGAGCCTTGCAACCATTTGTTGTCAATGCTACCCTCCTCTCCACGTGCCCAAATAAAGAAGCAATTGCCCTACTTCTCTCTGCCTTCCCTTCAGACTTCCTCTTAGCAGCTATCAAAAAATCTGCTGAACTGTGTTAATTTTATTTAGCTTGAAGACAAAAGTGTTTGCAGACTCTTATTGCTGGAGCAGCTATTGAAATGCCTTTTAGTAAAACCTAGTGAGAAGCTTTATCCAAACTCACTCATATACTGACATCTTGCTTCATCCAGTTCTTTCATAACTTAAAAGATTTTTCTACTGTCACATCTTGTTTTGAAAATGGACATTGCCGAACTTGCTAGAAAGTAAAATTAGATTGACTGGGCTCTCTCAATTTCTATTGATTAAAGCCACTCTTAACATCTTTTTTAGGTACTCTTTTCTTTTTACAGCTTCAGCTAAGCGCTCAACTATGATCAACTTCAAAGTGCATGCGTCAAAATGACAGCAAAGACAATTCTCATTATTAATGTTTCATCATTAACGTCATCATTCAACATCATTAAATTTTATGGTCATGCACAAGCTGAGTAAGGGCAAATAAAGCTACTTTTTATTTTTTTCAAATTGCATGAAGCTCCATTTTACTCACTTGTCACTCCAAGGTCCGTTCCATTCCACCTGCCCCCAGGGGTTTCTCAGCCTAACCAGACGTATTTTTTCCCCTTTAAATGTTGTCTAATTGAAAAAGAATGCAACAAGAATAGACAGAGTGGGTTCAAAAGGAAATGTTCTGCCTGTCAAATTGCTGATACCAGTTCCTCCAGTGATGGTGCTTTCCTGGGCCATTGCCCAGCCTAACCTACTTGGGGTGAGTGTGGGAAGGCTGTAAGACCAGGAGGTGACCAGCTGTGGCCACCTTTGCCCAAGCAGAACATGGTGGAATATCCATTTCCCCAGAAAGCCAAAACTTGGACAGGTTTATTTCTCCACAAGGCTTTAATTTATTTAAATATAAATTTTGTTTCCTTAGCTCATAATTTGTTTTGCTTTTTTGCCCCCTCATAGCTTTCCTGACATGCATGGTTCTAGGCCAGAGTAGACCACAGCTCCCCATAGCTGGAGGAAAGGGACTGTACATACCTGTTCCACGGCTGTGACAGAGTAGGCATGACCTTTGACGAGCCCGCAAGACATCCGGGTTTCATACTGCATTGGCATTATGGTCTGTTAGGCACAAGATTAAAAATTTGTAAGAGTCATGCAAAGCTCAGCCAGCTGCTCTAAGGCAGGTATCGCCACCCAGGGCTTTTGGAGGGAGGATGACACCATTCAGGTGACAGGGTTTTTTGTTGTCTTCTCTTCTTTGTGTTTGCCAAGGTGGCCAAGCTTAGTGCCCACAGAATTAATGCTGGTTAGAAAGGAGAGAAGCATGAACTAAAAAAGCAAAAAAATTGATAATATCAGTTGGAAAGGACATTTTATGATTTACTTTTTCCCCTTTGTGGAGGTTACTGCTTTTTGCACTTGGAACATGCTAGTATATAGCATGCTTAATCAAAATAATTAGATTTTTCTATTAGTGGGACTATTCAGCCCTTTCTGGGATAGTATGTTCTTGTATGGCTCAGTAAGGTTATTACATATGAACTGGAAATATCAGAGCAGATCAATACCTAGAATACTTTCATCTTTGCACATGGTTGCAATCTTATCAGAATGACATTAAAACACCCTATTTAATATACTGTTCCTACTAATTTTCATTTTTTTAAAATTAATTTCCTGTGGAGACTTACATTTTATTCCATAATCATTAAAATCCTCATGCTTGAAATTTTTTCCAGCTGACTTTCAGGAAGAGCATAGCTTTCTTCAGCAATGTGTTGCTCAGGTGTAAATACATTTGCTGTCTTGGTAATCAACTGTGTCTGATAGATTTTTATTTGCAAATCTCAGAATTCTGTTTATCTGGGACATTAAGATTTGAGAGGAGGATGGCAGGTGCACACAGTCCGCTGTGTTTGTAGGAGAGATCACTGAGAATGGGGGAAAGGGAAGGCTCTGCTACGCACACATGGACCATGTGAGAAACTTCCTCTCCTCTGTTATGTTTGTCACTGAGAGACGACTGCAAGGCCCTGCCAGCAGCTCTGCCATCCCTTCTTGACACATCTGAGGGCATGAGAAAAGCAGGGATGGAAATGGAGAATTTATAAGGTCACACAGATACATTCTCAGCTTGCACAGGGAGGATCTCATCCAAATATTTCCTGGCTGCCGCAGTTATTTTCCATTATTTCCCTTCTGTTCCTCTTTCTTTCTTTTTTTTTTTTTTTTGTTGTTGTTCTTGTTTCCATACTTTTAATGGTAATAACCTCACATCTATTTCTTTTATTCTTCATTTCTACTCATGTTGTCATCATCATTACTTAGCAGAGCCCCTTTCTCTTTTCTATTTAAGAATATTAACATCTGCTGGTGTCCTGAGCCATTTCTCTAAAGTGCTTCTGAAGTCTGCCTTATCTGCCTCTTTCCATCAAGAGTCATGATTCCCACCCCCTGCCCCGGTGATGGTTCAGGAGTATATAATAACCAGCAGCAAAACAGCTGCCGGGGCAGCAACTTTAGAGAGTTTTCCAAAGAGTCACTGCGGAGGAAAATCCCCTCAAAACATGGGTGATTTGGGCAGCCATGCTTGCAAAACAAGACAGTCATACTGGACTTTCTTGAAGAATTACATCATTTCAGTCTTTTAGGAAGACTAACTATGGGTGTCAAAAGAGGAAAAATCAGCTATTTCTGCTGCAAACGCAGAAGCAGTTTGCACAACCAGAAGTTCGAGATGATGTAATTGGGGTGGGTGTTGGGTTTTTTTTCTCTCTGTGAAGTGAGACATGTAATTTCATTGTCATGGAAATGCACCTTCCTAAAGGGCAAGGTATGACAGCTGCCTGACAGAGAGAAGGAGAACACAACGTGTCCCTCTACATATCTGGAAGCTTTTAAGTTTCCCAGTATGGGACTTTTCTTCAACGGTTTTAGCATCCCTCTCTCTATTTTGCTTGATACTTAGGTATGCTGGAGTTACTTTGTATTTTATCACACATGTAAAACTCGACACGTTTTTCATTTTTCCTTGTTAAGCATTTTAAATTAAGATCGTAAAGGCAGTAATTTAAAAGGAGCATCCCGAGAGCAGACTCCTCTCCATTGGTGGGCAGAGATCTATAGCACACTGTCTCAAAATAAGTTCACCAAGAGCTTTTGTGCCTGGAGTGAGAGCCATGCAGAGCCTGCTTTTTCTTTCTTTCCCACCCCCTCTACACTCAGGAATCTTGTTCCATTCTGCTATTTTCATTTTTTCACTCTCTCCATCATTTGCAAGTGAGGGACTTGATAAAATACACTAATCATGTCTAAGTCCCAAATACAATAACCAGTGTGCCACTTTGACATATTTGATGTGATTTTGCTCTCCATTTCTACTGTACGGGTAAGCTCTGGAAATTATAAGCCTTTGCCACAAGCCAAGAGCCCTTTGCCTCAGTATCAGCAAAGCCCTCTAGTATCAGTCACTGTGTTTGAAAGAACGGAAATCCTTTAATATGTATGTCAAATAGCATCCGTAAGAACAGGTCTTTAGTGTTGGGATAACTCAGTGAGGCCAAATAAGTATTTAAAAGCATAGGTGATATGTTTGTCTAACCGTTCTGTCTGTAAATAAAAGCCCTGTGAAGTCAACCACTTCTGGAAACATACGAACCCAGGCTGGCCTTTCGTCTGTCCCCTGGTAGTCTACAGTGGAGTAAGTCATCTGTGCGTTTTCTAGATTCTTCACCATTCGAGCAATCAGTTTCCCAATGTCGCTCCGAGGAGCTGATCCGTAGGAAAAGCCTAGGTTATCCTGGTACAGAGAATGGGAGAAAAGTGTCATGCAGAAAGATGAGGCAGGGGGAGAGAAGAGAAATGATACAAGAAAGATGAGTGGTGAAAGGTGAGTGGCAAAAGATAGCCTAGATAACTTCTCTCTCATTACATGCTAGATGGTCCATACTCATCTACAGTGGTTGATAGCACTGGTTCTTCTTCTGCCTTCACTGCAACTTCATACTCCATAGTGGTTACTGAAGCTAGTTTTTTTACTTTCACTTGTAAATTAACCATAGTAAATGAAGACTATTTAAGACTATGCTGGCAATTGAAGGGTTGATTTCCCAAGCATTTGCACACTTAGCATCTTTGACATGAAAATTTGTATCTTAACAGAGTTGCGGCACCCCTCTACTAACCTTATTTTATTGGGCGAGGGCACTGAGGGTGGGGGGTGCTGGTTTTGCTGATCGCACCCCTTCTCCCCACCTCCATGTTCTGCTTCTGTTTGTTTCCCTTTTGGCACTTGCTATTTGCTTATGGGTGGTGTCTAGTGGAGATTACTCCATCTCCTAGAAATGGATGTTTGCTATGTGGACTAAACCAAGCAGTTCCAAAAGGTGGCATGGATTTGATTATGGATGAAGAGGTCCCTCTCCTCTGCCATTTCTTATGGCTCATCTGCAAAGTTCATATGGACTCACATCAATGGAGCTGGCCATGAGGGATCCTCTGTCAATGGCATGTTTCATGATTTTATAGATATCTTTAGGGGCATCCTTTATCTCATAGAACTCTGTGACTCCTCCAGTGAAGTCCTCCATGGCTTCGGTGGTGTTGCCTCCTTTCAAAGCTTCGTATGACCCATGGAGTCTTGGAAAGAGAAAAGAAAAGTAAGATTCTCTTTTACACAGATAAAGATACCTACCTATATATATATTTTTTTTTTTACATTATATATATTTATTTTGTGTGTGTATATAAATAAAGATATGTAAGCACACATACTAAAAAAACCCACAAACTGGGGTTTGGTAACCCTCAAGTTTTAAAACATGCCACCTGCACACATCAAAAAACAAAAAAACCGAACCACCCCACCCCAATAAAGAAAAAGATGTTGAGAGTCAAATGCAGACCTCTGAATGAGTAGCAAAACCCCCTACAAAATATGTTTTACACCATCCCCAATTCTGAGGCATGAGAATCTATGGGAAAATGCACTAGTATGTTCAGAGCCTCTCTATGTGCTCATTATAGGTCCTGTACATAGTGGTTTAACCACCTCCCCAGCCAAAGCCTTGGTGGGGAGCCCAGCATGGTCCAGCTGGTAGTTTTACTTTGCATAGGCTTTTTCCAGGAGGGCGCTCCAGAACTCGTTGCGCTGGGAAGACTTCGTAAAGACCAGCTGGTTGTTGTAGGTGGGTAAGCAGTCATCAATGACGACGTCCACCCAGTCTCCATAGCGCCAGAACTGAATAAAGACAAGCAGAAAAAAACTCTGGGTTGACTTGGTGCAAGGAGGGGGAGCCTGGCTGAAAAGCCAGGCTGAGAGGGGAGAAATGTGGACATTAACCGCTTCGTAATGCGGCAAAAAGCGATGGCCATTGGGAGGGAGGCAGCTGGACTGAATTCCCCTGGGCAACGCATGCGGGACAGTGAGAGGTCCCTTAGGAGAGCCACGGGAAATGTGGAAAGCAGTCAATCTTTTCTGAATAAGCGGTTCTTCAATAACTTGTTTTTGACAGACCAGCTGCTTGCGGGCCTAAAAATAGATGCTCTTGCCAACTCTCAGCGTGTCTGTGCTGGCTGTAGTGCTGCGTCTGAGCAGCGAGGCAGGACTGGGCACCTGTTGCTATCCCTTAGGCGCAGGACACAGCGATTTGCAAATGCTTCTTTGGTGGGTTAATGCTCCCTAATTGCCTGTATGGTCTGGTCCTTCTGTGACTGCGCTCTTGGAAGAGTTTAGGGTGAGGCAATTCAATCCCTCTTCCTTCCCTGCTGTCACTCACACTTCCAAAGGGTGGAGAAGCAACAGAAATGAGCATGCCCGAGATCTGAGATCTCTCTTGGAAAAATACGGTTACATCTGCTTCCTGCTAGATGAAGGGACTCACCTGGAAGTGAAAAATGCCAGCATAGTTTTGTATAAAGGACTGGTCATGAGGTATGACTCTACAGAGTAGTTTTTTATTCAGGGTCAGGCAAGCAATGGCAGCCAGGAACCAGCAGTCACCTGTAAACAAGCAGAAGCAGCAGACAAAATGAAGGGACAGAGCAACTAGAATCAAAGGGAAAACCTGAGATACTGCAAAGAGACACATTAATTCATAGTAGAGCATGCCATCGCCTTTCAGGAGAGGGCTCTTCTCCATGTGTTCTGCAGTACTTTAGCACTTTATTTATTTGTACTCTGGAAATGCTCATTGGCATCATTTGTGGCTAGGTACATGCCTGTTAAATAGATAATGTTCCCTGTAATTTAGAAAAAAACTCCAATCTCATGAGCACCGTCACCTATGTGAAGATTTCCCTGTCCCATGTGAATGCCTATCTGACTTCCCATGTCAGTTCTCCTTCCAAGCTTAGGACAGAGACCAGCTGAGAGAGAACTCTCTCCCAGGTGGACCTCTGTACAGCTGAGATTCAGTCTCTCATTTTCATTTTCTGCTCTCAAGATAACCCACTGTCCCAATCATTCTGTGGGGCCTCTTTCCTGCTTCATTGCTCTGATGCTTTTTCCTATTTTTGAATCCATGTCTGCACTGCTGTAAACAGTGTCCCCTTTAGTGCTTTTCACTTCCTCCTTCAGACTCTTGCACAAGTTTGCTGCCTCTGTGGGAGCTCTGGGAAAGCGATTTTCTCCCATAGTACTGTGTTCAGCAAAGGATGCCTCAACCCTTGATTAAAACCTCCTAGCTGCTACTGTAAGAGAGGTTATAGGGTAAGCTTGCCTGAGCAGTGTGAATTAGTGGGATGAGAGAATTATATGAGGTAGTGAAAACTAAACCTGATTGCAGGGAGTGGTAAAAGAAATTTATGAGACTGGTGGAGTGATAAAAGAGTTAGAAATACATATATGTATATATTTTGGAAAGCCATCTCTATACATATAGCAGTACATTCTAAGTTACCTATTTCCCCTTTAAGAAGGATGTGGGGTCCACTGTGAACAGGACTTTTCTAAACTATCCAATGTTCAGCAGAAGTGAAAAAGGTAAACAATGCTATGTGTAGTTGGGGAAGGAATGGAAGACAAAATAGAGAACATATGCCTGTAAATTCATTTGAGTCCACACCTTGGCAACTGTGAAGTTCTGGTCACCTCAAAAATAAAGGCAGTTTTAAATAAATGTAAAAAAAAAAAGAAAAAGTACTTGGAAGGTGATGAGGACAGTCACAAACACAGAACAACACTTAAATGAAAAGATTAACACACATTAGGGTGTATTAGCTTAGGAAAAAGATCACAGGAGAAGTTATAAAACCATGAAAGACATGGGAAAACTGAGTGGGGAATGATTTTACAAAGCAGTGCAGGTGAGTGCTGCATGGACAACTATTGCAGAGGCATCACTTATACCTAAGGAGTGGCTCTATATACCAAACTATCTTTGAGCATCTGAGCTTAAGATCTTCAGTATAGGGGTTGTCCTTGAGTACAAGGCACACTTAGCTGGAGGCCTTCAGAAGCTCCTGTATGGAAATAACAGGACTAAATACCTGAAAAAATACAACAGTAGCTGATTGGATTTTTCTCTCTGTCAAATAACTCCTTCTCTTTATCTCTTATTCTTGTCTTAACTAATTTTGTCCCTCCTCAAAGCCCAAAAGAAAGGCCAAATGGTGCTTTGTAACACACTCATGATGTTCATGAAAAGCAAAACACCCTGCAAAGCACCTTTTGCTTACAGCTCTTCCCTAGATTGCTACTAGGCAGATATCAACGATTTGCTATAGAGAGAAGGAGTCAGTAGGTGTGTAGTGGTATACTGAGGCAGAGGATGTCAAATATCACCTTGGAGGCAAAAGAAAATTAAGTGATGCAGGCTTTAAAAAGTGCAGAGTTGAAGTAAGAATTTCATACCTAATTCTCCTTGGCAGATATCTGTTCTGTTGGCTCCACCAATAATAAACCGTGGATTCTCACAGATTTCCTGCAAAATATAAACAGAAGGATGAGCAGGAAAAGCATGCATTATGATGCCTGTTTGCCATAGAAATAAAGGCTGTTTCACGATAATGTTTTCCTGTAGGATAGTTTGTGGATATCAAAATCTCTTGCAGAGTTTTCAGTTGCAGAGTTTCACTACAAAGATGTTTTGGAATCTGGATGTTCCAGACTTCATCCAGAGTTTTCTCCATGTATCTAGAGGGTCTAATAGCTAGCCTGGAGGGCTCCCTCTGTACAGGGCTCAAACACATTAAAATGGGAAGAATAGGTAAAAATATTTTTCTACAAAATAATGAAAAAAACCCCACTGGAGGAGACAGGAGAGCAGGTAGGTGGAAAGAGCATCAAGGGACCAGGTTAAATTCTTTAAAAATGACTGCAGGTTTAAGGTGTCCAACTTCCAGTAATGAATATGCTGGGGCATTAATAGGGTTGAAGAATGTATTTCATCAGGAATGAACCCCAGTAATAATCCTCCTTAAAATTTGCCCAGGATCAGATGTTTAATTCTCAGGAATAGTCAATTGCTGGTTAAGAGATTTTATTCTTTTCCTCATGTTGCAGTATTTAATTGCTAATGCTACATTGTCCTGGTTTCAGCTGGAATAGAGTTAATTTTCTTC